TTGATTTAGATTAGATAACTGAAATCTTAAAAATACATTTGTCATGCCTACTAAATGGAATTCAAGTAATTGAACCGACGTTGGTCAATTAGTTGTTTAATAATCGAGGGGGGGGGGGGAATAATTCTGGGTAATCGCTCAGCACTGACAGCCGCTCATCTCTGTAATGCACCGCCCCTATTACACTCCTTTCACGCAAAATTTCAGCAGGTGTAGTTCACTCCACCAAAAAATTATCAATAACAATAAACCTTAAAGGGATGGTCCAGCCTATTTAGGTTTAGGTAAAATATTATTGTCCTCATAGGCCAGTAGTGACACCTCCCATTGTCAGCTTGGAGAGATGCGTGTGCAGGCTGTTTTACGGACATGACATCACGCATTGATACTGACCCAAATATGTTTGATTTCAGTATGGAGTGTGTTTTAGATATCCATGTAGAATTAATTAATTCATATAAGCTATTGAAGATTAAAAGCCACAAAAAAAAGCAGTGGATTTTTGTCCATCCTCCCCTCATTCAGAATATATTATTTTCATAGTCATGGCATGCTTTGTATAAGAGCTATTCACAATTCCTGACATTTGATCCTAGTAAAAATTCCCTGTCTTAGGTCAGTTAGGATCACCACTTTATTTTAAGAATGTGAAATGTCAGAATAATAGTAGCGAGAATGATGTATTTCAGCTTTTATTTCTTTAATCACATTCCCAGTGGGTCAGAAGTTTACATACACTCAATTTAGTATTTGGTAGCACTGCCTTTAAATTGTTTAACTTGGGTCAAACGTTTCGGGTAGCCTTCCACAATAAGTTGGGTGAATTTTGGCCAATTCCTCCTGACAGAGCTGGTGTAACTGAGTCAGGTTTGTAGGCCTCCGTGCTCGCACACGCTTTTTCAGTTCTGCCCACACATTTTCTATAGGATTGTGGTCAGGGCTTTGTGATGGCCGCTCCAATACCTTGACTTTGTTGTCCTTAAGCCATTTTGCCACAACTTTGGAAGTATGCTTGGGGTCATTGTCCATTTGGAAGATCCATTTGCGACCAAGCTTTAACTTCCTGACTGATGTCTTGAGATGTTGCTTCAATATATCCACATAATTTTCCTTCCTCATGATTCCATCTATTTTGTGAAGTGCACCAGTCCCTCCTGCAGCAAAGCACCCCCACAGCATGGGGCGGCGCACAATAGGCCCAGCGTCGTCCAGGGTAGGGGAGGGAATGGCCGGCAGGGATGTAGCTCAGTTGGTAGAGCATGGCGTTTGCAACGCCAGGGTTGTGGGTTCGATTCTCACGGGGGGCCAGTATGAAAAATGTATGCACTCACTAACTGTAAGTCGCTCTGGATAAGAGCGTCTACTAAATGACTAAAATGTAAAATGTAATGATGCTGCCACCCCCGGGCTTCACGGTTGGGATGGTGTTCTTCGGCTTGCAAGCCTTCCCCTTTTTCCTCCAAACATAAGGATGGTCATAATGGCCAAACAGTTCTATTTTTGTTTCATCAGACCAGAGGACATTTCTCCAAAAAGTACGATCTTTGTCCCCATATGCATTTGCAAACTGTAAACTGCCTTTTTTTATGGCGATTTTGGAGCTGCGTAGTCCCATGGTGTTTATACTTGCGTACTATTGTTTGTACAGATGACCGTGGTACCTTCAGGCGTTTGGAAATTGCTCCCAAGGATGAACCAGACTTGTGGAGGTCTACAATTTTTTGGCTGATTTCTTTTGATTTTCCCATGATGTCAAGCAAAGAGGCACTGAGTTTGAAGGTAGGCCTTGAAATACATCCACAGGTACACCTCCAATTGACTCAAATGATGTCAATTAGCCTATCAGAAGCTTCTAAAGCCATGACATCCTTTTTTGGAATTTTCCAAGCTGTTTAAAGGCACAGTCAACTTTAGTGTATGTAAACTTCTGACCCACTGGAATTGTGATACAGTGAATTATAAGTGAAATAATCTGTCTGTAAACAATTGTTACAAAAATTACTTGTGTCATGCACAAAGTAGATGTCCTAACCGACTTGCCAAAACTATAGTTTGTTAACAAGAAATTTGTGGAGTGGTTGAAAAACTAGTTTTAATGGCTCCAACCTAAGTGTATGTAAACTTCCGAATTCAACTGTATGTAAGGCTTAATAGCTTACTTTGATGTTTAGGGTATTTATTTACATTTACATTTTAGTCATTTAGCAGACGCTCTTATCCAGAGCATACATTTTCATACTGGCCCCCCGTGGGAAACGAACCCACAACCCTGGCGTTGTAAGTGCCATGCTCTACCAACTGAGCTACATTTAGTGTAATTTTCTTGTTTAGCATTCATACTCAACCAACTGAAGTCAGTTTTTAGCTTTACTAGCCTATTTACCTTTTGTCATTTTAAAAACGAATGCTGTTCCTCAGTTTGAAAACAACCCAAGTCTTGTTTATGGCCCTATCCTTGTTGTATTTAAAGATCTAAAGGGACAGGATAGGTGTGGGCTCCACCTAGCCATTTAATGGGCCTGGACTGGAGTAAAATCTGCCTTATTTCCTCCATACGCCAGGCTCATACAGCAGAGCTCTCCTCTGAGCCCCTCTGTGTGTGTTCTCTCACTGCCGAGTTCACAGCCGAGTTATATAGCACGAAGCTCCCTGCTCCTTTGTTGTTGTCCATGAAGTGTTGCATGATGGGGGTTATTCAGAGTTATATGAAAGGCAGTTTTTTTCCCCTGCACCCCCTCTAGTCCAAACAACACCAATGTCCCCTGCAGTTTTACAATTTAGAAATATGTTTCTGTCTCTCTCACGGCCTTATGAATGAATGTACAGCATTTCTACAGACCAGGTGAAAAGGTTTTTAAAACATATTTTCTTCATGACGATATGCCTGACCAAGGAGCTGGGCTGATCATCAAATCATCTTACATTTTAGTCATTTAGCAGACACTCTTATCCAGAGCGACTTACAGTTAGTGAGTGCATACATTATTTTATTTTTCATACTGGCCCCCCGTGGGAATTGAACCCACAACCCTGGCGTTGCAAACGCCATGCTCTACCAACTGAGCTACATCCCTGCCGGCCATTCCCTCCCCTACCCTGGACGACGCAGGGCCAGTTATGCGCCGCCCCATGGGTCTCCCGAGCCTGGATTCGAGCCAGGATCTCTAGTGGCACAGCTAGCGCTGCGATGCAGTTCCTTAGACCACTGCACCACTCAGGAGGCTTGAATTCCAAACAATAACTCATTATTAGGTAATCAAGATTAGCAAATGCTGCAACTGAAATTGACATCTTATAGTGCCAGTCTTATTTTTTGCCTTAGCATTGTTGAGTGCAGAAAAAGGCAGATACTCTAGGCTTGTTGACTGAGGCTGTAGATTCTGAATGGGGGACTTTACAACGCTATGAGTAGGAGCAGTTCACCAGTTTGATAAGGGCGATTCCAGCATTATGGACATTACAATTGCATGCAAAATCACAACTTTAATGTCTCACAGAATTAAAATATAGGCTAAATTAAACTTTTAATGTGTGTGTCTATGGTACCCCGTGGGGGGAGTGTATACCTCAAAAAGCAGACTGTTAAATAGTGGCATGTTGAAGAAATAAAGAAAATAAGAAGCGTTATGGATGGTACATGACATGAACAAGCTTTTTGGGGAGATTGAACATAAAAGCAAACGTCTGAGGTTGTAAGTCTCGGGTCAAAACAGTCATTTTGAAGGAAATGCTTGGCTATACACAAAAACAAATATTTTTAATATTGTCATTTCCATTATTACTTTAGAGACCATTATGGATGTTACGGAGTCTGAAATAGACATTCAAATCTGAAAGATTTCTTGATAAAAATCTGCCACAACACATTTGTTAGCATTTGGAATGTTTAAAAAATGTCAGCAAAAGGCATAGTGCCTTAGGATTGTGTAATTACAGGTAACCTGAATAGTATACAAGGCCAGGCACCACACCCTGAAAGGTATTTTTTAAATCTTTATATATATATATATATATATATATATATATATATATCAAAATTAGCCCCTACCAGGTGAATGTAGACACAAAAATATCATATTTTTGGGTATTGCAATTTTTCTGAAATATTGTAACCAAATATGCAAATGAGACCATATGCATGTGCCTATACTGCCAATCCACTTTTCTGGACACCGGATGAAGTCAGTATATTTTGAAGGGCTTTCATTTTAAACTATTCATAGATTATCTAAAATACAGTACTGTCATGTATGAGAAATGCATTTCAGCATATATTTTTCAAGATAATCTTACCTAGAACACAATTTTCGAGATATCAAAAATGGCTTCAGTAAAAGTCTAAAGGATACATCTTGGAACAAGCACACAAAATCTGGTGAATGCACAAGTCTCTGAAGCTACGATTTGATAAATCAATATTAATCACATTCACAACTGTTATCGATTGTTACGGATATCATCATGCTGAAAAAGGGTTTTGACAATGAAAAGAAAGGACCCATTTATTGACCATATAAAACCTTTATGAAAGTTAGCTTTACAGAGAAAGTTTAAATAATCCAATGTAAGGTGCATGTTTTACAAAACTTTTTCTAAAAAACTTTATGGATTATACATTGCCTGTCCCAGTCAGCCCCCTATATTTACAAGACTGTAGAACATGCAAACAAAACAAGGCACTCAATTTGCTCTGTATTGCTTCATTAACATCTCATCTTCCTCACTAACACTGGGGGAAGGTGTGAGTGGAAAAACAAGCAGTTTCTAAAAGCAATGAAATATGATTGACTGAAAGCCTTATTTGAGATTTGGCCTCCTACACTGTAATATAAAAAAATCATGCAATTCCTGCTTTAACTGGTAAAATAATGTCTGAACTCCAACATTTGGAAATTATTAACTTTATTTTTACATGCTCAGGTTGACTTTAGCATTGAATCACTGCCTTTTGGTGACACTGCATGTCTGGTCTGTCATCCCCTTTCTCTCTCTCTCTGTAGCGGGGAGCATGGACAGCTCCGTGACCCTGTGGCAGTTCCTTCTCCAGCTCCTATTGGACCCCACCAATGATCAGCTGATCTGCTGGACCAATGAGGAGGGCGAGTTCAAGCTGCTGCAGGCGGAGGACGTAGCCAAGCTGTGGGGCACCAGGAAGAACAAACCCAGCATGAACTATGACAAGCTCAGCAGAGCCCTGAGATACTACTACGACAAGGTACACACACATGCATGCATAGACCCCTATAAAATCTGTAGTCTTTTTTGCCCAATTCCATTTAGTTTTTTCCCCAAATTCTGTTTTCTCCGTTTTTGTTTTTCAGGGTTTCTGATTTGTCCAAGATTTCTTCAGGTTTTCGCTCTCAAAATCCGTTTTTAGTAGAAAAAAGAAAATAGGATGTTCTAAGTCCACAACAATGCTTAAACAACATCAGCAGACCACTTTTGAGGTCTGGGAAAAACCTAAGACGTTTTAATTTTTTTTATTTGTATATATACCCTTTAATTCAAGTGCACACCAGCAAATGCACACCGTGTGGCTCAGTTGGTAGAGCATGGTGCTTGCAACGCCAGGGTTGTGGGTTCGATTCCCACAGGGGACCAGTATGAAAATGTATGCACTCATTACTGTAAGTCGCTCTGGATAAGAGCGTCTGCTAAATGACAAAAATGTAAATGTAAGAGACTTGTTTGGCTAGCGCTGTTTATGTAGTGCACATGTGATTGCAGAGTTTGCTAAACAAATACCCACTGGAATGATGAAAATAATCATGATATAATTCTGCCATGTAGGCATAGGCTACTTTGTAGTTAACATTTAATTGAGAAGGTTTTTTGGAAAGCCTTCCCATCTATCAGAATACACGAAGTGGGAGACAAACGTGCACCAAGACGGGCATTCCCGCGTTACCTCTTCAGAGAGTTGAAGGAAAGTAACAATCACTGATGAATTTTGTTCATGTCCTATGATAATCTTGGGCAAGTTAATACATTTTGAAATAAGTTCAATAAAAAAATTTTATATTGTTGAATTCCATTTTGTCTGGATTCCGTGATCCCATCCGCGTTCTCCGCATCACAGATTTTATAGGGCCCTACACACACACACACATACACACACACACACACACAGCATGAATTACAACAAACTCAGCAGAATACTAATACTATGACAAGGTACACACACACACACTCCCACACAACGCATTAACTTTGACAAGGAGCCCCTTGATGAGACTTGTTGAAAATGAGTGCAGGGTTTAGTTTAATGCTGGGCTGGGTAGAGCTATGGCCAGGGAAGTTTCTGTTATGCCCTCCTGTGATGTCACCACACCACCCAGTCTCTCAAGAGTACTGCTGGGTTCATGTGTTGCTGTGTGTCTTGTCCACTCTGCCTGTGGTTTAGCCTAAAGACAGCCTGCCTCTGTCAGTGGGTGGGGTGGTGAGCTGTGTTTAGTTTGGGACAGACAGGAAGAATGGAACAGTCCCACGCAGTGGTTACTCTGTGGGCTGTTTTTGGAAGAGGGAGAGGGGGGAGGAGAGGAAAGAGAGAGTAGAGTGTCTGTCTTGTGTACATCTTTTTCCACATAGCGTAACATTTCTCGCTCTCCCCTACTCTCTTCTAGAACATAATTAAGAAGGTGAACGGGCAGAAGTTTGTGTACCGTTTCGTCTCCTACCCAGACATCCTGAAAGGGGATGCCTCTGCTCGGCTGGAGGGGGAGGGGGGTGCAGGGGGTAGCCTGCCGCTGTCCGAGAGGGGGGACAACACCTCCCAAGATGGTGAACGTGGGGACAGGGGTGAAGGTATGACAGCAACACAGGGGTCCAGTACTAAGCCGTCCAGCCGTAATGACTACATCCACTCTGGCCTGTACACCTCCTTCACCCTCACGTCGCTGCAAAATGGACGCCAGCTCTTCAAGTCCATCAAGATGGAGAACCCTGCAGACAAGATGGCCGACAGGAAGTCCAATACCCAGACTCAAGACCCGCCCTCTCAGCAGCCAATGCTGTCGCCGTCAGTTATCAAGTTTGGGACCACCCCTCCCAAGAGAAGCCCTCCCCCTCCTCTGGTTACCATAGAAACACCTAATCCGCCATTGTGCTCTCTCCAAGTCCCGCCTCCCATGGGTGATGTCGTGATGACACACTCCGTCCTCCTGCCTCAGGCTGTGTGTGCGTTTGAGCAAGCCAAGCCCATGGAATCCTCGAGTCCTAGAATCCTGAATAGTTTCAGCCTATCAGAGTTGTCCTCTCGGAGCCCCTCCCCCACTATGGTGCCTGATTCCACCAAGGAGCTTGTGATTGACAGCGACATCGAGTCCATCTCCTCCCAGCCCACAGAGACGCAGATACAGGGGGTAAGGAAAACACACACACACACACAACCTACTGCGACATGGAGACCATCTCCTTACAGTCCACAGAGATGCAGATTACTCAACATGAAGATGGATTTAGCATTCCTGTTTTTGCTTTCTGTGATTCAACTGCTTTCCCCTCCCCATCTCTCAGGTGCAGAGTTCTGGCCAAGTGTCAGGTGGTGAGGCGTGTGTAGAGAACAGGGACAAGGGAGGGAATAGGGAGATGAGTTTGTCTCCGTTGTGTGTAAGTGCCCATATCACAGGGGGCAAGGCCCGCAAGCCTCCTAAAGTCCTGGAGCTGTCCACTCCTACACTGGTGGTCACCACCTCTGACCTCTCACCTATGAACCTCTACAGCCCCTCCCTACCTACCGCCTCTCTCACACCAGCACTGCTACAGGTGAGACACACACACATTCATTTTTACGCAATCTTATACACTCCACACTCACTCAGAATTATTGTTTGAGATGTGTTCTTGATTAGGAGAAGAGACATTTACAATTCGGGACGAGGCTAAGTGAAATGTAAACACAGTTCATTGCTAATTTTCCCCCAGCAGATGGCAGCAGTGTTGTAGTTTTATTGAACACCCATTCTCCCAGTCTGAACAGAGTTACCATGACAATTACTATTTTCATTCATTTGGCCTGTCAATGGGATGTTGACTGTTTGACCACATGACCATGTGTTCCTGTTGTGATTGTAAGATTAGATCGACCTGACAATGGTCTCATTATTCTCTCAGATTCTCCCTCTATAGTTTAACATCTGTGTTACTTTGGTCATGAGACAGCACTGTTTGAGCCAGCCCCAGGCCAGCTTCTCCTCTGGGTTGACTTTGCCTTGGCCTGCTGGGAAACCATCAAAGCCTCCATTATGGATACAGAAGAGCACATCTTTTTTCTTCTGGTCTTTATCAAGTCTGCACGAATACTTGCACTTAAAGCTGGAATTCCAGTTTTGAGAACAATTTTGTGCCATAATTTGAGATATTCCCAAATGACTATTTATGTGTCCAAATCTGTTGCTGACTAGCTCCTTGTGTGTTTTGTGTGTGTATTTACAGACACCCACTCTGTTGCTGACCCCCAGTCCCCTTCTATCTAACATCCACTTCTGGAGCACGCTCAGCCCGGTGGCTCCCCTCAGCCCTGCCACCCGGCGCCAGCAGGGAGCACACACCCTGTTCCAGGTCAGAACACACCCCCTCTCTCATCACTCTATCCCACTCATCCATGTCTCAGGGAACCCTTCAATCTCCACTGCACTTCATTGTCTTTCTCTTATTCCTCTTTCTGTCCTTGTCCTCTCTGTCAGTTCCTGCTCTAGCCTGTTCTGTGTTTCAGTGGGTATTTCTCAATATGCATACTACTGTGCTCCGAGCATGGAACGGTAATCGGCGTACGAGTCCAAATCAAAGTATACGAAAGGAGCACGGATGGCTGTTCTCATATGCATACTTTGTTTGTACACATTTCTAAGTATTAATCGATTCAAGCTTCAATTGAAATATTCCCAGGATTGTTGGCGTAATAAGACGAGCCAAGTAAAAAACGACTCAATATTTCTTGAAAACAATGGCGGCTGGTTTTGAGCTGAAGTGAGAGAAAATTAACTCCGACTTCAGAATGAAAAGTTGCCCAATCACATCTCGTGTTGCCTTGATACATTAAAAATAAATACGTACTGTGTTAATTTTGGCATGTTTAACTGCCTAGAATATCCACTGTAGTGTGCGTAGACCGCAGGCTAACTGACAGAATTGGTAGTTAACGTTGGCTATCTACATTACCTTTCATTACAACATTCGTTTTAGGTCGTTTTTTACATGTAAAACTAGCTGGCTGGCTAGATTAATACGTTTCACAAATAGCTGGCTGATAATTATGAAGTTACATGCTTGCATTTGCTTTATGTAGTTATCTTGTTTCGTCTGTATTGGTCAAAGGTAATGCAGTAGCAGGGGAGTGCGCAGTGCTTCTCAAAATGTTAATTTTTATGCATTCTCCTCACTCGAGAACGTCCTCGGAGAACGAAGGAGGAGCATGAGTGTAGAGCACGGTAGTATGCATATTGAGAAACACCCTGTGTTTCTACTCCATACTGTGTCTTCTGTTTCTGTCCTCTATTCTATGGACCCAAATTCTGCTCTTTATTTGAAGCGGTACTGTGTTCTCATGTGTTCTCTTATGTGTTCTCTTCCAGTTCCCCTCGGTGCTCACCCCTCATTTCCATATACCCACACACAGCCTGGATGGGACCAACACCCCCGGACCCCTCACCCCAGACCCTCATAAGACATAAGAGACCTTACCCTTGGAACCTGTGGAGCCCCCAGACACTCAGATGCCCTACTTCTGCTCCCCCCGCACCCCCCAAACAGACACAAGACATGGGGGGGGGGCAGACTTAGCCAGACTTTTTAGAATTGCCATGGTAACGGGTGCTGCAAAGTTCACGGATTGGATGCTGAGCAGTCATAAAATGAGCATCTCTACCTGGAACAGCCAATTGTGTCTCCACTCTGAGACCAATGGGATTACAGATTTTTTTTTAAATGTAATATGTGAACCTTCATCTTATTTCCTTGTTCTATTCTGTTTGATGCTGTGTTGTCAATTCCAACTAAGTTTTTAGATGTTTTTATGGATCATTTTCCTGTTATTTGTTGTATGTTTTAAACCAGGGGTCTCCAACAGGTCGATCACTACATTTACATTTACATTTTAGTCATTTAGCAGACGCTCTTAACCAGAGCGACTTACAGGAGCAATTAGGGTTAAGTGCCTTGCTCAAGGGCACATTAACGTCATTTAGCAGACGCTCTTAGCCAGAGCGACTCACAAATTGGTGCGTTCACCCTATAGCCAGTGGGATAACCACTTTACAATTTGGGGGGGGGTTAGAAGGAATACTTTATCCTATCCCAGGTATTCCTTAAAGAGGTGGGGTTTCAAATGTCTCCGGAAGGTGGTGAGTGACTCCGCTGTCCTGGCGTCGTGAGGGAGCTTGTTCCACCATTGGGGTGCCAGAGCAGCGAACAGTTTTGACTGGGCTGAGCGGGAGCTATGCTTCCGCAGAGGAAGGGGAGCCAGCAGGCCAGAGGTGGATGAACGCAATGTCCTCGTTTGGGTGTAGGGACTGATCAGAGCCTGAAGGTACAGAGGTGCCGTTCCCCTCACTGCTCCATAGGCAAGCACCATGGTCTTGTAGCGGATGCGAGCTTCAACTGGAAGCCAGTGGAGTGTGCGGAGGAGGGGGGTGACGTGAGAGAACTTGGGAAGGTTGAACACCAGACGGGCTGCGGCATTCTGGATGAGTTGTAGGGGTTTAATGGCACAGGCAGGGAGCCCAGCCAACAGCGAGTTGCAGTAGTCCAGACGGGAGATGACAAGTGCCTGGACCAGGACCTGCGCCGCTTCCTGTGTAAGGCAGGGTCGCACTCTCCGAATGTTGTAGAGCATGAACCTGCAGGAGCGGGTCACCGCCTTGATGTTGGCGGAGAACGACAGGGTGTTGTCCAGGGTCACGCCTAGGCTCTTCGCACTCTGGGAGGAGGACACAGCGGAGTTGTCAACCGTGATGGCGAGATCATGGAACGGGCAGTCCTTCCCCGGGAGGAAGAGCAGCTCCGTCTTGCCAGGGTTCAGCTTGAGGTGGTGATCCGTCATCCATACTGATATGTCTGCCAGACATGCAGAGATGCGATTCGCCACCTGGTTATCAGCTACCAGTAGCTCGCAGACCACATATGAGTAGCTTGCCAAACAATTCTGAAAGTACATGCATTGACATTATCCCACCCCTGGTTAGCCACTATTGGCTTAAAAAGCCAAACCTAACACAATATCTGCCAATTAATTTCCAGCAATATTGCTCCTTTTCTGTCTGTGTGGTACGGGCGTTTGTCTATTACTCTGTGTGTAGCCAGTAGTGATGGGTCCTCAGTGCAGGAACAATATAATGAGGAGAGAGCGTCATTAAGTCTTACTTTTTTGGGGGGGCAGGGCATCTAATAATATAGTCCAAAAAAATAAATGGAACTCACATTTCACAATCTGATAAGCAACGTTTTAGGATTTAAATGATGGTTTTAGGTCAATTTCTAAGCATTACTGAGCGAAGAGTCGTTTGGGAGCTAAATTAACGGCTATTTCAGGTGAACGGCGCCAAATGATCCGGCTCACAGAAAAGACTCGGAATGTCCATCACTAGTAGGCAGTTGATGTGATAACCGTCTTGTGGGTTGACAGAAATACTTTCCCCAAAACCTTCTCAGTTAAATGTTAACTGCAAAATAGGCTTACTTGGCAGAAGTATATCATGAGTAAGTATAGCATTTGTATCGATTAATTGTTATTTGCAAAGTTTGCTATGAAATGAGCAGCAGCACTACAGAACCCTCGCTAGACTGGCACATTAGCCGGCACACTAGATGCGCAATTAAAGGGCCAGATGCGCAATTAAAAAAGGGGAATTACACTCAAATCTAAATTCTTCCAGACCTAAAACAAATTGTCTTCTGCTGTGATTTAAGCGTTGCATGGATTCAGAACATCCTATTTCGTTGTTTCTCTATGAACAAGTGTAATTTTGAGTGACAAACAAAATAATCTAAAACCAGGAAAAATGTAACTGAGAAAACTGAATTTGGGAAAATATGAAACCGAATTTGGGGAAAATGTTTTGGTTTTATAGGGGCCCTAGAGTTTTTTATTTAACATTATTTTACCAGGTATATTGACAGAAAACAGTACTCTTGTACACTAAAGATCTGCAGAAGAGTTGCAGGAAAAAAATGATTAGCTCTCATGCAACAAAATAAAGTTGGAGACCCCCTCAGATGGGAAATGCTTCAACTGACCTCTCCGCTTGCCAACACCAACTCTACCCTTACCATAACCCTCATCTGAAAGTTTACCCTCACGTAAACTGACAGAGAAAATAGTGATGTGAACTTCATGCTAGTATATATGAAGCAGTGTGAGGTCTGTCAGAAACATGTCCCTGCTCTCTGAAGTGTGTAACTGTTTCCATAATAGATTAATTCCTTACTGTAATACCCTCAGACCAGTAGGGAGGCCACATCAGAACAGAACCAAACCACCTCACACCCACCATTTATACTAGAGACAAACAGGCATATGTGACCTATGGGTTTGTAATGCTTGAATTTGTGTGAAAAAGCCCCTATCCCTCTGTGGGTCAATTTATGAGAAGCCATAACCCTTACCTTTACCCCAACCTTAAACCTAGCCTTAACCATATTCCAAACCCTAACCTACAAACTAAATCTAAACAAACCTGTGGCCTCAGGTAGGACAATGGACCGATTTATTATCACCTCCTTTGACAAATAGCCACTAACCTTGTGGAGATTGAGCAAATAAGGATCCTCACCCTAAACTAACCCTAAGGCTGTGCACTTCTGTTGATGTAAAGCCATAAGGAAAACATTAAATGTGTGAAGGAAAATCACATCTTGACTCCGAAGATAGAATTGATAAGTGAGGAGTACTTTCGCTGGCGCTAGTGTTGGATGGCAGGTTGTCCCTCTAACCTGCAGCGTTGCTCCATAAGACTCAGTCATGCTAATGTGGTGCCTTAACCCCAAGCCCAAGCCAAACATGAAGAGGAGGAACAACCATCCCTCCTCTCTCCACCGTATCCTACTCCCCTCTGCCCTGGTCTCCAGTGCCTATACGCTCTCCCTGGGAGGCAACTTCAACAGAGCACTAACCGTATTTGGTTTATAAAGTGAATTGAATACATAATGTAAGTATTATAGATTTCTACCGGTCCTTTACTCGTCTGTCTTATGTCTTTCTTCTCCCAGGTGTGGGTAAAATGACCCTTGCCTTGACATGGCCAGTGAATAGCCTGGGTGGTGCCAGTGTTTCTGCTTTGCAAACATGTCACCTTGCTAAGACTGTTTGGGAATGGCAATGATGTGGCACAGTTGAAGGCAGAAGCAGGCTACTGTCAGAATACCCACACAGGGTGTTCACAAAGCCTGTCACAATAATGTTTTGTTACTTATTCTCATGACATTGTAATGTGACTTAACATTTACATTTTGGTTTGTATGATTCATGTTAGTCATTTAGCAGACGCTCTTATCCAGAGCGATTTACAGTTAGTGCATACATGTTTGTTTTTTTTCATACTGGCCCCCCCGTGGGAATCGAACCCACAACCCTGGCGTTGCAAGCGCCATGCTCTACCAACAGATTTGCTTAGGTATTATGATTTGAATGACAGTCATCCTAAATATGGAATATCTTCACCCACATTTGCAAGTCCTGTGAATGAGGAACATCATTAAGTTTTAATGTACCACAAATCATTTCTAGGGAGATTCTGCTAATCTCAATTTTTCACAAGAACTAAAACATGTACAGTACACATGTGTATGATTTATCAGTACACCATCAAAACTGTCTTAATCCCTCTCTTTGTGTCTATTTTATATGCTTATGAGGTGTCATACAATCATATGACAGAGAAAATAGTGATGTGAACTTCAGCTGACATGTATTTTCAATTAATTCCATCTACTCCTCCCCTATCACCCATCACCCTAACATTCTGAATTGTAATCTGTGTTTTTGTTACATGGCCAGATGCGAGGCTCCATGCTGTTCTGTAGTCTGTTTTTAATGCTGATGTCTGTGGATTTTACACAGATTTCTATACTCAGTGTTGGAAAGTGATGATGGCATTGACTATTTGAGCATCATTTACATTACATTTACATTTTAGTCATTTAGCAGACGCTCTTATCCAGAGCGACTTACAGTTAGTGAATACATATTTTGTTTATACTGGCCCCCCGTGGGAATCGAACCCACAACCCTGGCGTTGCAAACGCCATGCTCTATCAACTGAGCTACATCCCTGCCGGCCATTCCCTCCCCTACCCTGGACGACGCTGGCCCAATTGTGCGCCGCCCATGAGTCTCCCGGTCGCGGCCGGCGGCGACAGAGCCTGGAAGGAGCATCGAAGCCTTAAGGAGTGAAACTTAAATCCATGTCTTTGTTAAGTATTTTGATATTGTTAATATTGTCTATGTAGTTGTGTGTGTCTTAATGTTGGCACTTAGAACAATGGGGTGCCTGTAGTATCGGATTTTACAGCATCGCTTTTCTGTTTTAAATTTGACTTTTTCCCAGTGTTCTTTGAAAAAGCTATATTGACCTAATTATAGCTGTAAATTAATATTCTGTACATTTCTATTTCTCAATCAACAGCAAATCTATGCACAAAGTACTTTATAATGCAAATCTAAGGTTTGAATCTTAAATGTTTATGTTCTAAGGAAGTGTGTGTAAAATGCATGACTTTAAATGAAGCAGAGTCCCTTTGTTTAGTTTGGCCTTGTAACAGATGTGTATTTTCTCTTAACTAAAGAGTTAGATTTATTAACTTGATACAGTAGTCAGAAAGAGTTTTTTTTTAATATACAGTGGGGAAAAAAAGTTTTTAGTCAGCCACCAATTGTGCAAGTTCTCCCACTTAAAAAGATGAGAGAGGCCTGTAATTTTCATCATAGGTACACGTCAACTATGACAGACAAATTGAGCATTTTTTTCTCCAGAAAATCACATTGTAGGATTTTTAATGAATTTATTTGAAAATTATGGTGGAAAATAAGTATTTGGTCAATAACAAAAGTTTCTCATTACTTTGTTATATACCCTTTGTTGGCAATGACACAGGTCAAACGTTTTCTGTAAGTCTTCACAAGGTTTTCACACACTGTTGCTGCTATTTTGGCCCATTCCTCCATGCAGATCTCCTCTAGAGCAGTGATGTTTTGGGGCTGTCGCTGGGCAACACAGACTTTCAACTCCCTCCAAAGATTTTCTATGGGGTTGAGATCTGGAGACTGGCTAGGCCACTCCAGGACCTTGAAATGCTTCTTACGAAGCCACTCCTTCGTTGCCCGGGCGGTGTGTTTGGGATCATTGTCATGCTGAAAGACCCAGCCACGTTTCATCTTCAATGCCCTTGCTGATGGAAGGAGGTTTTCACTCAAAATCTCACGATACATGGCCCCATTCATTCTTTCCTTTACACGGATCAGTCGTCCTGGTCCCTTTGCAGAAAAACAGCCCCAAAGCATGACGTTTCCACCCCCATGCTTCACAGTAGGTATGGTGTTCTTTGGATGCAACTCAGAACTCTTTGTCCTCCAAACACGACGAGTTGAGTTTTTACCAAAAAGTTCTATTTTGGTTTCATCTGACCATATGACATTCTCCCAATCCTCTTCTGGATCATCCAAATGCACTCTAGCAAACTTCAGACGGGCCTGGACATGTACTGGCTTAAGCAGGGGGACACGTCTGGAACTGCAGGATTTGAGTCCCTGGCGGCGTAGTGTGTTACTGATGGTAGGCTTTGTTACTTTGGTCCCAGCTCTCTGCAGATCATTCACTAGGTCCCCCTGTGTGGTTCTGGGATTTTTGCTCACCGTTCTTGTGATCATTTTGACCCTACGGGGTGAGATCTTGCGTGGAGCCCCAGATCGAGGGAGATTATCAGTGGTCTTGTCAGGGGCGGTGTGTTCAATAGGGCGATATGGGCGACGCACTGCCAAACGGGAAAAGGAAGGGATTTTTTTTCTAATCAATTATATCACGGCAACAGTAGTTATCAGTGTTGTAATCTAGACGTGTCTGGTCTGATCTGCCACTAAATGTCCAATCAGGCTAAAGTCGTGCTTCAAATGGCCACCCCCCCTTTTTGGGCGATTTCAGTCAGGTTGAAAATCGCCCAGAAGTCTGTCATAGACTCCCATGTAAAATCTATTTTTTTCAAATTTCAGAGCTTTCAATACAATCTCTATGGGTGTCTGAGGGCTTGCACTTACGCGCTTTCGTCATACGTAACGTAACCATGAACGTAACTAAGAAAAGACCGGGTAGCAGCCTCAATCAATTCACTACTACTGTAAAAATGGCTAGCCTTCAGTGCAACTCGATTGTGTCTTTGAAAGAAGTTCCTTTTTGTCGGCGAACAAATCAAGATAAATTGGCAACGAAACAATTAGGACCTCCCAGACCAAATTTAATAATTCAACAGGTTTCTACTAAAGGCGGAAAGTCCTACACCCGAGGATTTTCCAAAAATTGGTACTAACGAAAAAAGAACATTGCCACTCAACTGGATGAGGGATACAGGCTAGCTGTCCGCCGCCACAACGATGAGGTTAGTGTTGATAATCACAAGTTTACTGGAGAACTGAGACCAAGTAGAGACTTTGGACAGGGTGGATATGGTATAATAAAGGCAGTTTATTCAGAGGTAAAGATATCTGGAATCGCGTGCACGGACCCGTTCGTCAAACTCTTAGGGAGCTATACATTAAGCCCCATTACTTACCATATCAGATAAGAGAAATTGCTGCAGCTACATATATTTTACATCCTGGCCCTACATAGTTCACTATTTGCATCACTTACCAAAATATTACATGTGGTCATATATGCTTGGAAAGTGGAGATGCCATAGAACGTCAAAAAAGTAAACATTGCTGGAGACACATTGCCGTTTTGGAGAAGACATCGCGTTTGCTAGCGAAGAGATTTGTTGTGGCAAATGAACTTGGCCTGGGAATTGCCAGGAACCTCACGATAAGATATATGCATTGCGAGTCTCATGATTCTATACGTATTGCGATTCGATACTGTGATTTTATTGCGCACCATATGTCTGTTGCAGAGGGATCAGAAAGCCATGAGAACGAGTTTTGATCAGTCATGGAAATAAAAGTGCTGAAAACAAATTGGCTCCCAATGTGAAAAGATTGAGAACAAGCTATGAAGGAACAATAATGGTGTTTTGGTGCAGGTACAGCCAACTAGCGCTAAAATATTGCGATATTGTCAATACAGTATATCGTAAAGTATCACTATGTAACTCGATTTCTTTCACCCCAATCCCTCAAATTAACGGTAAATAACTGAATTGTTTGCCCCACATTTAGCTAAGATGATTAGCTAGCCAGCTAAAATGTTTTATTTAGTTAGCAGTCGCATCTACAATAGTTTACTGTCAATAACATGTCTCCAAAAATGACGTGGTGTCTCCAATTGTGTTGACATTTGACAATTGCGATGCGCATCCATGAGTATCCACTTTCTGTAGCTCAGCTGGTAGAGCACGGCGCTTGTAACGCCAAGGTAGTGGGTTCGATCCCCGGGACCACCCATACACAAAAATGTATGCACGCATGACTGTAAGTCGCTTTGGATAAAAGCGTCTGCTAAATGGCATATTATTATTATTATTATTATTATTATTATTATTATCTGAAGAGAGCCCCGAAACATTGTGTGCAGACATTTTATGCAATAAATGAAGTAGGTTGAATCTAGTAGTTCTGATCTTCTGATTGGTCCTGATGAGTTGGGCGAGGTCCGCTCCAGGCTACTGTCACTGTTGCATTGGCTCTGAGTCGGGTTCTCTGTCTTCAAATGTTCAGCCTAAGAGAGGGGATTTGTGTGTGTGTGTGTGTGTGTGTGTGTTTAACAGTGACGATGTGTGTGTGTGTGTGTGTGTGTGTGTGTGTTTAACAGTGATGATGTGTGTGTGTGTGTGTGTTTGTGTGTGTGTGTGTGTGTGTCCTCAGAGCAAGAACTCGTGAGTTGGAAGAACTGAGAGGCCTATGGCGTGGGTGTTGTCCTTGGCTGACAAGATAGGACCCTTTTGTCCATTGTTATTGGATAGGAACAGAACTTATAACCAGCTCCTGACCTAAATAGATCTTAGCACAACATTTTACTCAACATATCATATTCCATATTCACTATAACAAATATATTTACTACGACATTAGCAAGAACCGCCACATCCTCAGCCGGCTAATCCAGTGTGTGAAGTTTTGCGGAGTGTTTGAGTTAGCTTTGCGAGGCAAAGATGAAACTGAGGGCTCCACCAACCCTGGTAAGCCAACACTTTTGAGATCAGTCAATAAATGCTTCTGGTATTGACTTATATGCTGCCCCTGTCTTCATGTTGTTGCTGGACATATCTTTTTTAAAATGTGTGTAGGTCACCTAAATCATCAGAAAAATTGCCCCCCCTGAGAATTTTTTCAGGAGCCGCCACTGGGTCTTGTATGTCTTCCATTTCCTAATAATTGCTCCCACAGTTGATTTCTTCAAACAAAGCTGCTTACCTATTGCAGATTCAGTCTTCCCAGCCTGGTGCAGGTCTACAATTATGTTTCTGGTGTCCTTTACATTTACATTTACATTTTAGTCATTTAGCAGACGCTCTTATCCAGAGCGACTTACAGGGGCAATTAGGGTTAAGTGCCTTGCTCAAGGGCACATTTACGTCATTTAGCAGACGCTCTTATCCAGAGCGACTCACCAATTGGTGCGTTCACCCTATAGCCAGTGGGATAACCACTTTACAATTTTTTTTGGGGGGGGGGGTAGAAGGATTACTTTATCCTATCCCAGGTATTCCTTAAAGAGGTGGGGTTTCAAATGTCTCCGGAAGGTGGTGAGTGACTCCGCTGTCCTGGCGTCGTGAGGGAGCTTGTTCCACCATTGGGGTGCCAGAGCAGCGAACAGTTTTGACTGGGCTGAGCGGGAACTATGCTTCCGCAGAGGAAGGGGAGCCAGCAGGCCAGAGGTGGATGAACGCAATGCCCTCGTTTGGGTGTAGGGACTGATCAGAGCCCGAAGGTACAGAGGTGCCGTTCCCCTCACTGCTCCATAGGCAAGCACCATGGTCTTGTAGCGGATGCGAGCTTCAACTGGAAGCCAGTGGAGTGTGCGGAGGAGGGGGGTGACGTGAGAGAACTTGGGAAGGTTGAACACCAGACGGGCTGCGGCATTCTGGATGAGTTGTAGGGGTTTAATGGCACAGGCAGGGAGGCCAGCCAACAGCGAGTTGCAGTAGTCCAGACGGGAGATGACAAGTGCCTGGATTAGGACCTGTGCCGCTTCCTGTGTAAGGCAGGGTCGTACTCTCCGAATGTTGTAGAGCATGAACCTGCAGGAGCGGGTCACCGCCTTGATGTTGGCGGAGAACGACAGGGTGTTTGACAGCTCTTTGGTCTTGGCCATAGTGGAGTTTGGAGTGTGACTGTTTGAGGTTGTGGACAGGTGTCTTTTATACTGACAAGTTCAAACAGGTGCAATTAATACAGGTAACGAGTGGAGGACAGAGGAGCCTCTTAAAGAAGAAGTTACAGGTCTGTGAGAGCCAGAAATCTTGCTTGTTTGTAGGTGACCAAATACTTATTTTCCACCATAATTTGCAAATAAATTAATTAAAAATCCTACAATGTGATTTTCTGGATTTTTTTCCCTCATTTTGTCTGTCATAGTTGATGTGTACCTATGATGAAAATTACAGGCCTCTCTCATCTTTTTAAGTGGGAGAACTTGCACAATTGGTGGCTGACTAAATAAGTTTTTTCCCCACTGTACATAAGATATACATAAACCCAAAATGGTTCTCCAGTAGATTGTTAAGAAAGGCTCATCCTTTGTTCAAAAATGGCATTTTTGCCTTTATACAGATTACAACTTCTCATTTCCGACTAATTGAAAATGAAATTCTGTTTAAAGTATCGCCCTTTCTTAAACAAGCAATACAAAGCTGGTTACAATTTCAGTTTTATCCTTCAGAAAAGATAGAACAAATATTACAACAAATGTTATGGTTAAACTCAAATATACTGATTAATAAAAAAACATTATTTATGGCAAAAATGTTTAAAATGTGTATTATATTTATTAATGATAGTATGAATAGAAACAGTGGAGTTATGTCACATATGCAGCTATCATGTTGGGCGATTTGGAAAGCCATAGTCAGTCAATCAATAATATAATAATACTTGTAGGAAAGGTTTTTATCTTTAGCTCACAATCTGTGGATACTATATGATTAGAAAGGTAAAAAATATATGTAAAACATTACATTGAAAAGTAAATGGCACATGGAAACCAAACGAGGGTGGTCTATGGTGATAGGTGGGATGGGCTGAGAGTGGCTGAGGGGTGCGATTAACCTCTTAAGGATATACACTCACTTTCACACATCTATATGCCCGGGCAGGGTGGGTGTGGAGCCAGAGACAGCAGGGGTTCAAACTGTAGAACCCAGTTCCTACATTTGAATATAAAAATTGATTTTATCAAACAACTCCTCCCTGCTGAATCCTCCTCCCCCTCCCTCCTCCCTCTCTGTGGATGACTTTGTCAACCATTTTGAAAAGAAGGTTGACAACATCCGATCCTCATTTACTAAGTCAAATGGTCCTGCTCACACTGCCCTACCCTATGCTTTGACTTCTTTCTCCCCTCTCTCTCCAGATGAAATCTTGCGACTTGTGATGGCCGGCCGCCCAACAACCTGCCCGCTTGACCCTATCCCCTCCTCTCTTCTCCAGACCATTTCCGGAGACCTTATCCCTTACCTCACCTCGCTCATCAACTCATCCTTGACCACTGGCTATGTCCCTTCCGTCTTCAAAAGAGCGAGAGTTGCACCCCTTCTCAAAAACCTACACTCGATCCCTCCGATGTCAACAACTACAGACCAGTATCCCTTCTTTCTTTTCTCTCCAAAACTCTTGAGCGTGCCGTCTTTAGCCAACTCTCTTGCTATCTCTCTCAGAATTACCTTCTTGATCCAAACCAGTCAGGTTTCAAGACTGGTCATTCAACTGAGACTGCTCTTCTCTGTGTCACGGAGGCTCTCCGCACTGCTAAAGCTAACTCTCTCTCCTCTGCTCTCATGGTGGTGTGGCGAGAATCTGTCTCCGCACCACGTGCTCTCACCACTGGTGTCCCCCAGGGCTCAGTTCTAGGCCCTCTCCTATTCTCTCTATACACCAAGTCACTTGGCTCTGTCATATCCTCACATGGTCTCTCCTATCATTGCTACGCAGACGACACACAATTCATCTTCTCCTTTCCCCCTTCTGATAACCAGGTGGCGAATCGCATCTCTGCATGTCTGGCAGACATATCAGTGTGGATGATGGATCACCACCTCAAGCTGAACCTCGGCAAGACGGAGCTGCTCTTCCTCCCGGGGAAGGACTGCCTGCTCCATGATCTCGCCATCACGGTTGACAACTCCGTTGTGTCCTCCTCCCAGAGTGCAAAGAACCTTGGCGTGACCCTGGACAACACCCTGTCGTTCTCCGCTAACATCAAAGCGGTGACCCGATCCTGTAGGTTCATGCTCTACAACATTCGCAGAGTACGACCCTACCTTACACAGGAAGCGCCACAGGTCCTAATCCAGGCACTTGTCATCTCCCATCTGGATTACTGCAACTCGCTGTTGGCTGGGCTCCCTGCCTGTGCCATTAAACCCCTACAACTCATCCAGAACGCTGAAGCCCGTCTGGTGTTCAACCTTCCCAAGTTCTCTCACGTCACCCCGCTCCTCCGCACACTCCACTGGCTTCCAGTTGAAGCCCACATCTGCTACAAGACCATGGTGCTTTCCTACAGAGCTGTGAGGGGAACGGCACCTCTGTACCTTCAGGCTCTGATCAGTCCCTACACCCAAACGAGGGCATTGCATTCATCCACCTCTGGCCTGCTGGCCCCCCTACCTCTGCGGAAGTACAGTTCCCGCTCAGCCCAGTCAAAACTATTCGCTGCTCTGGCACCCCAATGGTGGAACAAGCTCCCTCACAATGCCAGGACAGCGGAGTCACTCACCACCTTCCGGAGACACTTGAAATCCCACCTCTTTAAGGAATACCTGGGATAGGATAAAAGTAATCCTTCTACCCTCCCCCTACCCCACTCCCCCCCCCCCCCCCAAAAAAAATAAAAAAATAAAAATATTTTAGATATATTTTAAAGTGGTTGTCCCACTGGCTATCATAAGGTGAATGCACCAATTTGTAAGTCGCTCTGGATAAGAGCGTCTGCTAAATGACGAAAATGTAAGGTAAATGTAAAACTATGCTAAATGTATCTCTGGGACCCTTAGGATGACAAATCAGAGCAAGATTACTGAATGTAAGTACATTATTTACCTTCAGAGTTAAATGTATCAAACCAGTTGCGTGATAATTTTTGTTGTTGTTGTACAATCTCCTCAAACAATTATAGCTACTGTAAATTGGACAGTGCAGTTAGATTAACAATAATTTAAGCTTTCTGCCCATATAAGACATGTCTATGTCCTGGAAAGTTTGCTGTTACTTACAACAGTCATGCTAATCACATTAGCGCACGTTAGCTCCAAACTGGCACTATCTGGCCAGCAGGCCGACGGGTCCTATCTGGCCAGCAGGTCGACGGGTCCAACCGGTCCAACCTGGCCGGCCGACCGGTCCTATCTTGCTGGCCGACTACTATCTGGCCGGCCGGCTGACTGGTCCAAACTGGCTGGCCGACTGGCACTATTTGACCAGTAGGCCGACGGGCCCTATCTGGCCAGCAGGCCGGCCGGTCCTATCTGGCCAGCAGGCCGACCGGTCCTATCTGGCCGGCTGACTGTTCCTATCTGGCTGACTGATCCTTTCTGGTCAGAGGAGAAAGGGAGAGCGAGAGAGAGAGAAACATAGGAAAAAGAGAGAGACAGGAGAAAGGAAGAGTCAGAGGAGAGGGAGAGACAAATTAACATCAACATGACCTTTCATGATGTGATGGAGAAGATGGCATTGGTATGGCGCAACAACACCCATGTGTACACACGTTCCCCTTCGATGGAAATGTGAATCTCATATCTAATTCAATACATTTGAATTTGTCTGTTCATAGAAAGTTGATTTTTTTCCCATCTTGCCGGCTGACTGGACCTATCTGGCCAGCCAACTGGACCCTCTCTGGACCTATCGGTCGACTAGTCCTATCTGGCCGTCCGGCCGACTGGTCCAATATGGCCGGCCGACTGGTCACATCTGAAGTCCGACCGGTCCTATCTGGCTGGCCGGCAAACTGGTCCTATTTGGCTGGCCAACTGGTCCCTATCTGGACCTATCGGTCGGCTGGTCCTTTCAGGCCGGTCAACTGGTCCGGCCTACTTGTCCTATCTGGCTGGCCGGCCGACCGGTCCCATCTGTCCGTCCGACCGGACCCATCTGGCCGGCTGACCGGACCCATCTGGCCGGCCGACCGGTACTATCTGGCCGGCTGACTGGTCCGGCCGACTGGTCCTATATGGTCAGCTGACTGGTCCCATCTGGCCGTCCGACCAGTCTCATCTGGCCGGCCGACCGTTCCCATCTTGCCGGCTGACTGGACCTATCTGGCCAGCCAACTGGACCCGCTCTGGACCTATCGGTCGACTAGTCCTATCTGGCCGTCCGGCCGACTGGTCCAATATGGCCGACCGACTGGTCACATCTGGAAGTCCAACCGGCCCTATCTGGCCGGCCGGCAAACTGGTCCTATCTGGCAAGCCGACCGGTCCCATCAAACCGGTCAACTGGTACTATCTGGCCAGCCATCTGGCCCTATATGGCTGGCCAACTGGACCTTATCTGGACCTATCGGTTGGCTGATCCTTTCAGGCCGGTTAACTGGTCCGGCCTACTTGACCTATCTGGCAGGCCGGCCGACCGGTCCCATCTGGCTGGCCGGCCGGCCGGCACATTCTGGCCGGCCGACTGGTCCTTTCAGGCCGGGCAACTGGTCCGGCCGACTTTTCCAACCTGACCTAACTGGCCAGACGACTGGTTCCATCTGGCCGGTCGACTGGTCCTTTCAGGCCGGTGGAATGGTCCGACCGACCGGTCCCATCTGGCAGACTGGGCCGGCCAACTGGTTCTATATGGCCAGCTGACTGGTCCCATCTGTCCGTCCGACCGGTCCCATCTGGCCGGCCGACCCGACCCATCTGGCAGACTGGCCCGGCCAACTGGTTCTATATGGCCAGCTGACTGGTCCCATTTGGCCATCCGACCGTTCCCATCTGGCCAGCCGACTGGTACTATCTGGCCGACCGGTCCAATCTGGCCGGTCGACTGGACCTATCTAGCCGGCCGTCTGGTTCTATCTGACCGGCCAACCGGCCGGACGACTTTTCAAAATTCTTCAAGCTCTGTCAAATTGTTTGTTGATCATTGCTAGACAACTATTTTCAAGTCTTGCCATAGATTTTCAAACAGATTTAAGTCAAAACTGTAACCCGGCCACTCAGGAACATTCACTGTCTTCTTGGTAAGCAACTCAAGTGTAGATTTGGACTTGGTTTTTTGATTATTGTCCTGCTGAAATGTGAATTCATCTCCCAGTGTCTGGTGGAAATCAGACTGAACCAGGTTTTCCTCTAAAATTTTGCCTGTGCTTAGCTCCATTCCGTTTCTTTTTAGCCTGGAAAACTCCACAGTCCTTAACAATTACATGCATACCCATAACATGATGCAGCCACCACTATGCTTGAAAATATGAAGAGTGGTACTCAGTAATGTGTTGTATTGGATTTGCCCTTTGTATTCAAGACAGAAAGTTAATTGTTTTGGCACATTTTGTGCAGTGTTACTTTAGTGCAGGGTTCTTCAGTTCCTGTCCTGTAGGGCCGAAACACCTCTGTTTTTCATCCTCTCCTTCTAATCAGGGGCTAATTCAGACCTGGGACACCAGGTGAGTGCAATTAACTACCAGGTAGAAATAAAAAACAGAAGTGTTTCGGCCCTCCAGGACCGGAATTGAAGAACCCTGCTTTAGTGCCTTGTTGCAAACAGGACGCATGTTTTGGAATGTTTTTATTCTGTACAAGCTTCCTTCTTTTCACTCTATCAAACAGGCTAGTATTGTGGAGTAACTAGGTCATTGCCATTGTTATCAACGTTCCACAGACACCGCAGCCACATTGATGTCCAAAAGTAGAACGGGAGCTAATAACTGTTTCGCCCAGTGATGTAGTCGAGTCACTAAACCTCGAGTTCGAATCGAGTCCCAAGTCCCCTGTGTCCGAGTCCAAATCAGAGTCAACAATTATCGAGTCACGAGTTGAGTTACATGTCCCTATGGCTGAAGTCACAGTGCTCAAATCCTGGTCCAAGTGCTCAAATCTGAGTCACTTGGTCCACATTAACTCAAAATGAAGATATAGTGTAGTGGCAAGAGGGATTTAGTTAATACATTGTTTGCTATCAATTTTCCTTTCTTTCTGTGCCACAAAATGTTTGCATATAGGCTACTGGTAATGTTACCAGGGCCGCGCTCAGTTGTAAAATGTTCTTGAATGTTGCAGATAGAAATACCATGAATAGAGCCTGCTGAATGCACAACATTGTTGTTAGCTGTAGCTAGCTTATGAGGTGCGGTCTGCAAATAGCCTAGTTTTAGAACGGCCCGCGATATGCTTTGTGAATGTAAAATGCGGCCCACCAATGCACGATAGAAAGAAAAAAAAGTAGCGCCGGTATTATGGCTAGAATCTCAGAGGAAAAGAGGGAGAGTTGGCTAGTTCGTTGGCTACAGAACCTGGCTATGACAAGCAGTGGGGAAAGTGCGAGGGTTGATAGAGACTACAAATTCTAAAACGTTTCTACACTCAAGGGACAGAAACATAGCTAGATTAAGTTTAAGAGTAAAACAACAATGCTGCTATTGTTTTTAATTTCTTAAAGCAACTTGTGTTTCTTAACCAGGCTGCTGGTGACTGGTTAGCTACGGGGAAGTAAGAGAGTCACCTAAGCGATGTTTATAATAGGAGGCGGAGGCGGACCCTGTCTGCTCACGCTCATCGATTGCTTCCCAGCAGCTCACCAGCTGATGTAGGCTGTGTGTGCCAGGTTTGGCGCTTCCTTCCCACTGCTGAACAGAACTGCGTTGCGCATCTGTGCTGCAAATAATAATTGTGCTTATTACTGAAAAGCTCTCAATCGCTCCAAAAACTCTTGTCCAGTCCACTCAGTAGTCAGATTTTAGTCACAGATAATTTAGTCTCCTCCAGTTTTAGTGAACAGAAAGGAAAAATAATTTTCGTTTATTTATAGGTTTTTCTGGATCTATTTAGTCAGTTATAGTCTCCTCAATTGCCACTGAAAAATAGATGTTTGACAAATATTTTAGTCACTATTATGTTTAAGAAATTAACACTGCCCATAGACCTGGGCATAGCCATATGACACGCCATCATCCTGGGCATGGGGCTGCCATACAACACTGTGAGAAAGAAGGGAAAATAGCATTGGTTACAAACAAAGGTACAGAACACATTTATGGATAAACACTGGACATTTTACACATGCAACACAGCTGGAAAACTGCAGCTCGCAGTTACCGCTTTGCGCTGGGACAGAAACAAGAGGTGGGGGAGAGGTAGATGGTAAGGTAGGAGAAAGGAGAGAAAGAGGTTGAAGGAGTGGGAGCGAAGTAGCAGGTAGGGTGGGGGAGAGGAGAAAGAGAGGGGATGAACATGGAGTAAGGGAGAGGTAGAGGGTAGGATGGGGGAGAGAGAGAGGTTTAGACGGTGGAGTGGAGGGTCGATGATGGGATGGGGGTACCTACTAAATGTATCAAATCATACTACATGGCTGAAATGCATTTAGAAGTGAAGGCGCAGTTTCTGTTAAGTTGGAGTGTCATGACAGCCTTGCCTGTAAGTGGTGGCACATTCCCTAAATGCATCTGACCAAGGCCTGCACAGTGTAAACATAGTTTATTTTACCCAGTGTCCTCTGCAGGCTTGAGACTGAAGCTCAGCTGGTTCTCAACAGGCTGCTTGCCAGTTCACTAAGCTCTCTGTGTCCCCTGAGCTCTGAGAGAGGAAGAGAGAGAGAGACCGATGGACATACAGACAGACAGAGAGATACAGTGGGGGAAAAAAGTATTTAGTCAGCCACCAATTGTGCAAGTTCTCCCACTTAAAAAGATGAGAGAGGCCTGTAATTTTCATTTTTTGGTCAATAACAAAAGTTTCTCAATACTTTGTTATATACCCTTTGTTGGCAATGACACAGGTCAAACGTTTTCTGTAAGTCTTCACAAGGTTTTCACACACTGTTGCTGGTATTTTGGCCCATTCCTCCATGCAGATCTCCTCTAGAGCAATGATGTTTTGGGGCTGTCGCTGGGCAACACAGACTTTCAACTCCCTCCAAAGATTTTCTATGGGGTTGAGATCTGGAGACTGGCTAGGCAACTCCAGGACCTTGAAATGCGTCTTACGAAGCCACTCCTTCGTTGCCCGGGCGGTGTGTTTGGGATCATTGTCATGCTGAAAGACCCAGCCACGTTTCATCTTCAATGCCCTTGCTGATGGAAGGAGGTTTTCACTCAAAATCTCACGATACATGGCCCCATTCATTTTTTCCTTTACACGGATCAGTCGTCCTGGTCCCTTTGCAGAAAAACAGCCCCAAAGCATGATGTTTCCACCCCCATGCTTCACAGTAGGTATGGTGTTCTTTGGATGCAACTCAGCATTCTTTGTCCTCCAAACACGACGAGTTGAGTGTTTACCAAAAAGTTCTATTTTGGTTTCATCTGACCATATGACATTCTCCCAATCCTCTTCTGGATCATCCAAATGCACTCTAGCAAACTTCAGACGGGCCTGGACATGTACTGGCTTAAGCAGGGGGACACGTCTGGCACTGCAGGATTTGAATCCCTGGCGGCGTAGTGTGTTACTGATGGTAGACTTTGGTCCCAGCTCTCTGCAGGTCATTCACTAGGTCCCCCCGTGTGGTTCTGGGATTTTTGCTCACCGTTCTTGTGATCATTTTGACCCCACGGGGTGAGATCTTGCGTGGAGCCCCAGATCGAGGGAGATTATCAGTGGTCTTGTATGTCTTCCATTTCCTAACAATTGCTCCCACAGTTGATTTCTTCAAACCAAGCTGCTTACCTATTGCAGATTCAGTCTTCCCAGCCTGGTGCAGGTCTACAATTTTGTTTCTGGTGTCCTTTGACAGCTCTTTGGTCTTGGCCATAGTGGAGTTTGGAGTGTGACTGTTTGAGGTTGTGGGCAGGTGTCTTTTATACTGATAACAAGTTCAAACAGGTGCCATTAATACAGGTAACGAGTGGAGGACAGAGGAGCCTCTTAAAGAAGAAGTTACAGGTCTGTGAGAGCCAGAAATCTTGCTTGTTTGTAGGTGACCAAATACTTATTTTCCACCATAATTTGCAAATAAATTCATTAAAAATCCAACAATGTGATTTTCTGGATTTTTTTCTTCTCATTTTGTCTGTCATAGTTGACGTGTACCTATGATGAAAATTACAGGCCTCTCTCATCTTTTTAAGTGGGAGAACTTGCACAATTGGTGGCTGACTAAATCCTTTTTTCCCCACTGTATACAGTCGTGGTCAAAAGTTTTGAGAATGACACAAATATTGGTCTTCACAAAGTTCGCTGCTTCAGTGTTATGAGATATTTTTGTCAGATGTTACTATGGTATACTGAAGTGTAATTACAAGCATTCCATAAGTGTCAAAGGCTTTTATTGACAATTACATTAAGTTTATGCAAAGAGTCAATATTTGCAGTGTTAACCCTTCTTTTTCAAGACCTCTGCAATCCGCCCTGGCATGCTGTCAATTAACTTCTGGGCCACATCCTGACTGATGGCAGCCAATTCTTGCATAATCAATGCTTGGGGTTTGTCAGAATATGTGGGTTTTTGTTTGTCCACCCACCTCTTGATGATCGACCACAAGTTCTCAATGGCATTAAGGTCTGGGGAGTTTCCTGGCCATGGACCCAAAATGTCGATGTTTTGTTCCCCAAGCCACTTAGTTATCACTTTTTCCTTATGGCAAGGTGCTCCATCATGCTGGAAAAGGCATTGTTCGTCACCAAACTGTTCTTGGATGGTTGGGAGAAGTTGCTCTCGGAGGATGTGTTGGTACCATTCTTTATTCATGGCTGTGTTCTTAGGCAAAATTGTGAGTGAGCCCACTCCCTTGGCTGAGAAGCAACCCCACACATGAATGGTCTCAGGTTGCTTTACTGTTGGCATGACACAGGACTGATGGTAGCGCTCACCTTGTCTTCTCCGGACAAGGTGTTTTCCGGATGCCCCAAACAATCGGAAAGGGGATTCATCAGAGAAAATGACTTTACCCCAGTCCTCAGCAGTCCAATCCCTGTACCTTTTGCAGAATATCAGTCTGTCCCTGATATTTTTCCTGGAGAGAAGTTGCTTCTTTGCTGCCCTTCTTTACACCAGGACATCCTCCAAATGTCTTCGCCTCACTATGCGTGCAGATGCACTTACACCTGCCTGCTGCCATTCCTGAGCAAGCTCTGCACTGGTGGTGCCCCGATCCCGCAGCTGAATCAACTTTAGGAGACGGTCCTGGTGCTTGCTGGACTTTCTTGGGCGCCCTGACACCTTCTTCACAATTGAACCTCTCTCCTTGAAGTTCTTGATGATCCGATAAATGGTTGATTAAGGTGCAATCTTACTAGCAGCAATATTCTTGCCTTTGAAGCCCTTTTTGTGCAAAGCAATGACGACGGCACATGTTTTCTTGCAGATAACCATGGTTAACAGAGGAAGAACAATGATTTCAAGCACCACCCTCCTTTTAAAGCTTCCAGTCTGTTATTCTAACTCAATCAGCATGACAGAGTGATCTCCAGCCTTGTCCTCGTCAACGCTCTCACCTGTGTTAACGAGAGAATCACTGACATGATGTCAGCTGGTCCTTTTGTGGCAGGGCTGAAATGTAGTGGAAATGTTTTTGGGGGATTAAGTTCATTTTCATGGCACATAGGGACTTTGCAATTAATTCCAATTAATCTGATCACTCTTCATGATATTCTGGAGTATATGCAAATTACCATCATAAAACTGAGGCAGCAGACTTTGTGAAAATTTATATTTGTGTCATTCTCAGAAATGTTGACCACGACTGTAGTCTGAGGGAGAGAAAGAGATAAGAGGAAATACAGGGTTTTGAGAGAAACATGTGGACCGTAACTTAAGAATACCGGTAGTTGTCTTGCAAATACGTTAGGACCTTAACAGTGTCCTTTGGGGCACTCTTCTTAGAACATTGACATGCTGTATGTTAAACAATATTAAAAATGGATGGCGCTGGAGGGGATAGCTGCCGTTTTACGGGTTCCTGATTTAATTGTGCTATTTTGTGTGTTTTTTAGCATTGATTTTAACTTTATTGGTACGTAATGTTTCCACCATTGTTTCCTATGAAATATCTTCTGGACATCAGAACAGCAAGTACTCACCTCGATCTGGACGAGAATGTATTCTTCAATGTGAAGGACATACTGCTCTCCCCGGACCAGGCCCAAATCCCCGTCATTTGTAAGAAGAGGCCGGCGAGTGGGATACCTGACGAGTGGATAATCTGCCTTTGCCCTCTATTCCACTGGCAAACATGCAATCACTGGAGAGTAAACTGGATGAGCTCCATTCGAGAGTATCCTATAAACGGGACATTAAAAACGGTAATATCCTATGTTTCACAGAGTCGTGGCTGAACAAGAACATGGATAATATATAATTTGCTGGGTTTTCCGTATATCGGCAATACAGAACAGCAGCCTCTGGTAAAATCAGGGGGGTGGGGTGTGTCTCTTTGTCAACAGCAGCTGGTGTGCGAATATTAAGGAAGTCTCAAGGTTTTGCTCGCCTGAGATAGAGTAACTCATCGATAAGCTGTAGACTACACTTTTTTACCAAGAGAGTTTTCATCTATATCTTTCGTAGCTGTCTATTTAACAACACAAACCGATGCTGGCATTAAGACTAAACTCAACGAGCTGTATAGGGCCATAAGCAAACAAGAAAATGCTCCTAGTGGCTTGGGATTTTAACGCAGGAAAACTGAAATCTGTTTGACCTCATTTCTACAACTGTGCAACTACAGGGAAAAAAACCTCTAGATTACCTTTACACAGAGACGCATACAAAGCTCCATTTGGCAAATCTGACCATAACGCTATCCTCCTGATTCCTGCATAAAAGCAAAAACTCAAACAGGAAGTATCAGTGACACGCTCAATATGAAAGTGGTCAGATGAAGCGAATGCTAAGCTACAGGACTGTTTTGCTAGCACAGACTGGAACACACACACATGCATATGTTCCGGGATTCATCCGATGGCATTGAGGAGTTTACCACATCCGTCACCAGCTTCATTAATAAGTACATCGACGATGTCGTACCCACAGTAACTGTACGTACATATCCCAACCAGACGTCCAGCCACACAGGCAACATCTGCACTGAGCTAAAGGCTAGAGCTACTGCTTTCAAGGAGTGGTTATAAGAAATCCCACTTCGCCCTCCAACAAACCATCAAACAGGCAAAGCGTCAATACAGGACTAAGATCGAATCCTACTACACCGGCTCTGACGCTCGTCGGATGTGGCAGGGCTTGCAAACTATCAGGGGTTACAAAGGGAAACCCAGTCGTGAGCTGCCCAGAGACGCGAGCCAACCAAACAAGCTAAATGCCTTCTATACTCACTTCGAGGCAATTAACACAGCACCAGCTTTTCTGGACGACTGTGTGATTACGCTCTCCGTAGCCGATGTGAGTAAGACAGGTTAACATTCACAGGGCCAGACGGATTACCAGGACACGTACAGTTGAAGTCGGAAGTTTACATACACTTAGGTTGGAGTCATTAAAACTCGTTTTTCAACCACTCCACACATTTCTTGTTAACAAACTATAGTTTTGGCAAGTCGGTTAGGACATCTACTTTGTGCATGACACAAGTAATTTTTCCAACAATTGTTTACAGACAGATTATTTCACTTATAATTCACTGTATCACAATTCCAGTGGGTCAGAAGTTTACATACACTAAGTTGACTGTGCCTTTAAACAGCTTGGAAAATTACAGAAAATGATGTCATGGCTTTAGGAGCTTCTGATAGGCTAATTGACATCATTTGAGTCAATTGGAGGTGTACCTGTGGATGTATTTCAAGGCCTACCTTCAAACTCAGTGCCTCTTTGCTGGACATCATGGGAAAATGAAAAGAAATCCACAAGTCTGGTTCATCATTGGAAGCAATTTCCAAACGCCTGAAGGTACCACGTTCATCTGTACAAACAATAGTACGCAAGTATAAACACCATGGGGCCACACAGCCATCATACCGCTCAGGAAGGAGACACGTTCTGTCTCCTAGAGATGAACGTACTTTGGTGCAAAAAGTGCAAATCAATCCCAGAACAACAGCAAAGGACCTTGTGAAGATGCTGCAGGAAACAGGTACAAAAGTATCTATATCCACAGTAAAACAAGTCCTATATCGACATAACCTGAAAGGCCGCTCAGCAAGGAAGAAGCCACTGCTCCAAAACCGCCAGAAAAAAAGCCAGACTACGGTTTGCAACTGCACATTGGGACAAAGATCGTACTTTTTGGAGAAATGTCCTCTGGTCTGATGAAACAAAAATAGAACTGTTTGGCCATAATGACCATCGTTATGTTTGGAGGAAAAAGGGGGTTGCTTGCAAGCCAAAGAACACCATCCCAACTGTGAAGCACGGGGGTGGCAGCATCATGCTGTGGGGGTTCTTTGCTGCAGGAGGAACTGGTGCACTTCACAAAATAGATGGCATCATGAGGAAGGAAAATTATGTGGATATATTGAAGCAATATATCAAGACATCAGTCAGGAAGTTAAAGCTTGGTCGCAAATGGATCTTCCAAATGGTCAATGACCCCAAGCATACTTCCAAAGTTGTGGCAAAATGGCTTAAGGACAACAAAGTCAAGGTATTGGAGTGGCCATCACAATCCTATAGAAAATGTGTGGGCAGAATTGAAAAAGCGTGTGCGAGCAAGGAGGCCTACAAACCTGACTCCGTTACACCAGCTCTGTCAGGAGGAATGGGCCAAAATTCACCCAACTTGTTGTGGGAAGCTTGTGGAAGGCTACCCGAAAAGTTTGACCCAAGTTAAACAATTTAAAGGCAATGCTACTAAACACTAATTGAGTGTATGTAAACTTCTGACCCACTGGGAATGTGATGAAAGAAATAAAAGCTGAAATAAATCATTCTCTCTACTATTATTCTGACATTTCACATTCTTAAAATAAAGTGGTGATCCTAACTGACCTAAGACATGGAATCTTTACTAGGATTAAATGTCAGGAATTGTGAAAAACTGAGTTTAAATGTATTTGGCTAAGGTGTATGTAAACTTCCGACTTCAACTGTACTCAGAGCACACGCAGACCAGCTGCCAAGTATCTCTCCGACCCAGTCTGTAATACCTACGTTTCAAGCAGACCACCATAGTCCCTGTGCCCAAGAAAGCTAAGGTAATCTGCCTACCGTTCTGTAGCACTTGTTGTGTCGAGAAAACGTTGCTAATTATGCTGTGAGACCAAGGAGAACCGCTGACGCTGTATTTTCATCATAAAGGTTTATTCATAACAAAGGGTTACAGCGTCGATTTACAGATACCTGCAGATATCTGGAGAATAATCGCCCCATCTCAAATATGATTATTCTGTCCTCCTTTGTTCAAAACATGGTATTTATATCCTATGCCCTATGTAATATAATATGGGTGGTTTTTCCCTACCAACCAATCCCAGGAGGCCACCTAACAGACTTCCTCAGCTTTATGGTGCCCCTATAGAACTACTCCCCAGATGCTCCAAATCCCTAAAACAATTTGAAACCATTAGCAAAGTCATAAATTCCTCAGATACTACATATTCCCCCCTTCGAGACAAATTAAGTCTCGAAAACAAAAAGAATAGGATTATGACAAGTAACAATCTCTCTTATTGAGTATTTTTAACAATAAACCAAAAACACATTTTTCTATAGAGTGTAAATACATTTCTATGAAATATGAACAAATCTTTATGGAGTGTGAATACATTTCTATGAAATATGAACAAATCTCTATGGAGTGTGAGAGCGAAAAACCTGTCTGGCAGCTTTCTTTCCAAATATCCCTCCATCAATCAAGACAGTAAAAGTCTCTCAAGGCCCCTCTGCCCCAGGCAACCACTTAAGTACTCCAGATCAATTCATAAATCTTTATCAATGCATCTTAACCTATGATGCAATTTGAATACACATGAAAGCCTCAGCAAACAAAATACAATCCAAAACGTCCACACTCAGGCTGGTCGACCCATCGGACCCTCCTGTGGATTCTCTCTATCCCTGCCTAGACCCAATATCCCTAAGCATTCACGAAATAAACAAAAACATCTGAGATGCCCACATGTACCCAATAACAGCAAATATCATTCTACAAAAATTAATACAGAAAGAATATGACACAAATTATGTATTACACATGCAAATATGTCTATATATCATTGCAGACACTGGAATGTAGTCCACTACACTTCATCTCCTCAGCAGTGTCGACTTCCAATGCAACGTCGATGATGGAATCGGAACATTTCCACACCTTCCTTGTTCCACTTCCTCCAGTCCATTCATATTCTCCTTTCATTTTGTCCCTTCATATTGTCCTTGTTTGAGTATTTGAATCTCCTCTACATATTCCCCCATATGCTTCTGGAAGAAAAGAAAAGACCAAACAGTATCTTTTGCAAAACAACACATTCAAATTAAAACATCAATATCAACTAAAAATATAAAATGATATATAAAATGAATCACATTCTATTTCCCCCCTTTGATTCATAACAAAATACTAAAATCACACTAATATTTAAACCTCTGAAAAATTATCAGATATTCAAAATTGATATCTATCTATCAATACTCCTTTGAGTCTTGACAGAAGGTTAAACCCTCTTATCGTTTCATTTGCAAAACCCTTCAAATTATAGGTAATATTATCTATATGATCTTCTCAAAATTTTACACCATACCATGGAAAAATCCCTACTACTCTCCTAGACTTATCCTCCAATGGTAGGCTTCCCAGACTATGAAACTTCTCTCTTTCAGAATCAGATTTATCTCTTTTCCCTTGCTACCCCTCTTTTAATTTTAAAACCTAATATGGAAGCTTCAACATCAACATGTAACAACATCCTATCCATCCATAGGGTAAGAATATATTCTCTCACCACAAACCCCAGATGTTTCTAAAATCCCCCAATAGTCACATTACTATGCAAAAACTTCTCTCCTTACTAAATGAAACCTCAAAAGTTACATTATATTTCTCATTACTAACCTTATGTTCATGCTTACCCCAAATCATCATATAATCATCACAATCTGATATTCCCCTAAACATCCCCTTTCCATCATATGTTTAATTAGAACAAAAACAGCTTTTAGCCCTCACTGGTTTCACCTCCAATGCTTCATGAAGCGCTATTAACTGATTTTCCTTCCTATCTAACAAATTCACATAGGGTAATTCATTTAACCAATCACACTTAAACCTAGGCCTAAATAAATGTTTCGACAACTACATTATTTTCTCTCTTAATGATTGCTGCTGATACAACATCCCTTATAAAACATAAGATTTACACATACTTGATAGAAGTTTAGCTACCTTCTAAGATTCAACCCCATTTTCTTTATGCTGAAATTCTCAACAGACATTTACCCTCAAGATTCCTCACCGATCTTACAGAATGAGGTAACTCCTTGAACTAAAGATTCCTACCTGCCCATCCATCTTTAATTTCCAAACAGAAGAATTAAATCCATATGCCTTCCATTTAGTTTCTCTCTTCCCTAACGAGCGGTACTGATCAAATATATCTTATTGTCTTTCATTAAAATCAAAGAACTCATCCTGTACCTCCATGATAGTATCCTGCACTATTTCAGATGAATCTGCATCATTCTCTACTACCATCTGCTCTCCTATCTCAACACTATCCTTACTACCATTGACAGCACTCTCCATCCGTATCATAAACTCCTGAGTCACTTGCTACATCCTTTAGTTTCAGAAAAGTTGTTGTTGGTGTCTGTGTCATATTTCCTACATTTGTTATTGCCGTCGTACCATTAACCTCTTTCAAAGTTACTATTAAAATAGTTGCTTTAGTTGATTTATTAACACCCTTAACTATTTCCAGTGGAAAAGTTACAGATATCCTCTGTGTAGTATTTACTGTTGGAGTGGCTACTGTAATATACTTCTCTTGAACTCCCTTGGTGACTGTGGAAGCTTCAACAGACTTCAAATCTTCCATCATGAGCGTCACCTTACGAGTTACATAGCCTTTTAACCAATAATTCTTAACCGGAACAAATTTTAATGCTTGCACTAGATAAGTACACATAAATTCTCCCTGATCTTTCCATGTAACATTACTCAAAATAAGTCAGCAATCACTCATAACCCTCTTCCACTTCATATCGTTGTACAAAATATACTTCCTTTGACTAGGGGGCACAGCTTCTACTTCTGGTCCTGATAACAACACTTCTTCTCCATAATTATCTCTCCACATGAGAGGAATCTCACCTCTACACATTCCTTCTCTCACATCTACAAGGAAGATGAGCTGTATCACCCATCCTAACCCTAATGACAGTCTTTTCCTCTAAAATTGGTGCTGGAGCGATTGGCTCCCTTGTAATCAAATGTGATATATTTATAGCTTTAATAACTGTCAATGTTGAAAGAGTTAAATTGCTGTTATAATATGCTGAAGTGTTGATGTCATTGTTGTTGATTCATCTATTTTCCCTAAGGCTTTGAACTCTTTACTTGTATTTCCATCTATCACCACTAGTGTCACTACATTAACTCTCAGTCCCACCTCTAATCCCTCACTTTCAAAATGTTGATTATAAAAAATACACTTATAATCACCTTGATCTTCCTGCTGGGAATTGTAAACATAGATACTACAATCACCCTCAATCTTCTCTTATCATTCAGCAACGCATACTTTCTCAATGCAACTGCTCCTAACAGATCTAAACTCCTACCATATCTATCTTCCCACTGAACTCTAAATTTCCCTTCACCACTGTTCTCTCTCTCTCTTACTACTAACATTGAAGCTTAGCTGACTGTCCTAGAGTTCCTTCAACCCTAGTTTTCTTAACTTTTTAAATCTGACTTTTCTCCTAACTTTTTCAAAAACCATTTCACTGATTTATCCACAAATTCCTTTCCCACTAATTTTAGAAAAACCATTTCACTGATTTATTCACAAAATCCTTTCCCACTAATTTTAGGACATGTGATCGGGTAATCCCCACCTGCTTATGACTTCTTTACACACAGACTTGGCAAACAATTGAGCATCTTTTAGCCTAGTTTGACATCTTATTCACCTCTTGGTGTAGGAATGTAACCAAGAATAACAGTCACCCCCTGTAAACATTATTTTTCAGACAGATTGTCCTCCTTCCTATGATATAATCAACCCTTTCAAGCAAATATGATTCCCCAAAACCATACTCCTTTGTAATCTTTCTCCTAACCTTAGCCTTCTTTCAACATTAGCTAACCCCTAGCTTCCTAAATCATCAGACCTAATAGGTCCAGAGGCGCTACTATCAACCCCTCATGGTTTCTCCCCAAAACAACAATTGATTCCTACTCTAACGATTTTTTCTATTGTCTTCAAAACACCTGCTTTTGAAAGTACTTCCATTTCTGGTTCAATCCCTTGAATTGCTTCATCTTTCAAATGATACTCATTCTTCCAAGGAGGTCTTCCTCCTCAAAATCTTCACTGAGATTTCCCATCCAGAATACTGTAGACAAATCCATCTCTGTCATCATCAACCATTGGTAAACATTTTCCTTTGGCACTTCTACCAGACAGCCGTCTGGTGTACATCTTATTGTACAGTTCAACTTACACAATGCATCTCTTCCCAACAATGCAATAGGTATATGTTCTGATACCAGTATGGGTATTGTAATTTTTTTTTTTTTATAGCAGAGATCAATTGGTTCCTTAAGAGTAATCAACTGTTTCACTCCCTTGAATCCCTATCCTAATTAGTTGATTTTACATAGTGAGATGTGTAGCCTCTTCAGGCCGAACACAGATAAAAGCAGTTCCACTATCCACCATCACTTCCCATAGTCCATTGTTTATTTTCACCTCAATTGTTGGATCTTTTTCCCCTAACTGGTGCTACCAGCTGACACCCCCTTTCCGATCTTCTGGGCACCCCTAGAATCCTTGCTCCTTGTCCCTATAAGGGTTCACCTGTCCTCCAGATGATCTTCACTTGCTCCTGTATCTTCCTCTGAAATTCTTTCTTTCCAGAAACTATCTATGGATATGAAACAACTTGTACCACTAGTTGTGGCTAGTACAATTGCATTTGACCTTGTTCAGTTGAAGCTGTGGCAGTGATTGTTGATTTGGTGCACACTGATTCTTCATAACCAAAGCTTTTCTTCTCCTTCTTCTTCTCCCCGAGTTGTATTTCATCAAGTTTTCTGAGAGTTTCTTGGTCCTGTTCTTTCTAGTTCTAGGCTCTGTCCTCGAAATATCATCTTCCATCATCTTCTTACTGGTGCCCTTTTTCCTTGGCCTCAATGTATACTTCTCCAATTCTTGGGATCCTTTTCTCAGCAGTTTTTTCCTCTTCTCTTCTGTATCTTCAGCTTCTTGAGTTGTTCTTCCAGTTCTCTTTGTCTCTTCTAAATTATTCCCCTTATCCAGGCATAATACGCATCAGTCTATATCTCTTTCTATTTCTTCTTTGCTAATCATTGTAGAATAAAATCCTCTTGAATATGAAGCACCTTTAATCTCCAAATCTTTATCGCTGTCTTCATCTTCGCTTTCATCAGAACTGGAATAACTTGTATTCTTCTTCTTCAAACATCCATCACCCCTTCTTTCCGCTCTGGCCAACCTCCGTCTGATCACAGGGTCATATCCACCCATGATCTCTTCTCAATCACTCTGATCATCATCATCATCTTCTTCTTCTTCATCTTCAAGTTCCATCTTCCTGAACCTTATTCCACCCTTAGTTTCCAGACATCTCGGTTTTCTTCCTACTTTTGGAGTTTTGGATTCATCTTTATGGTCGTTTCTGCTTGTCCTCTCTCTATTATTCAATCACTTTCATCATGTTGATGACGTCAGGGTTAAGATTCCCTTCCACTAGCTATGATTGTTCAATGTCAGGCCAACGTTTATTCCCTTTTCCAGATAACCTTTAGTTAATGGTATTGCAAGGTTTACTATTTTCAACTATATCAACAGGTGTATTTACTTTCATAGTTCTGATGTCCTTTTTCCCCATTGTAACAACAATTTTTTTATATTCCTTTATTGTGAATTATTTTTATTTTAGACTATATAGCTTATAGTTCCCTTTTTTTTCTTCTTCCCCCCCCCCCCAAATTAATTAATTAATCAATTAATTTATTCATCAATTTATTTATTTTTTCATTTTATTTTATTTTACCAAATTATTGATTAGTGGCAATCTTACCACATCCAATCAAGAAATTAAATGAAAGTAGTCAACTTCAGAGCAATCCAAAAAATAAAGACATATAATCCTGCAACACTACAGTACTCACAACCCAATTACCTTAATTGTACAGAATAATGTCAGTACTCGATTCCCCCACTCAACTCTAATCAAACCCACTCATGCACAAAAACTCCAATATGCAATTCTTATTTTCATCAATTGATCAGTCTTTTGCCAATTCCTTGTCAAATTGTCATAACATCAATTATGCTAGGCACACAAAATATCCTGTATGGGAAGGTACGTTTTGTAAATAGAACAGTACTGGCCTTGATTTGACTGGATCCTGTTGCAGCAGACTCTGTCGCGTCACACCCTGTCGCGTGATGCACTCCACTCCTCGTCTTCCGTATGGCTAACGGTCCTTCCTCTCCTCTCGTCTCTCTCTCCTCTTCCTCTCTCTCTTGGTCAAGCTCCTCATCTCTCTTGCCTTGCGCTTCACTCCTCTCTCTCCTCTCTGCTCTCTGACTCGCATTCTCTCTCTGCCGTCTCGCGATGCTCTCGTACAGCTAAATCGTCCCGCGGAACGAGAGGAGTCTCTATTCGAATCTCGACTGCCCCCGCAGCTGCGCTCTAGAGTCGTCTATCTCTCATCTCTCGAATACTCCTCTCTCTCCATCTCTCTCTCGTCCTATCTCTACTCGTCTCTTCTCGATCGTCCATCTCTACTCTCTCGTAGTCTCTTCTTATCTACTCTCTTCTTATCGTCTCTCCATATGACAGAATAACAAAGAAACAGACAAGACTTTAGTATTTTATGCACACACTGAGTTATTTCAACCATTCAATATTTCTCTAGTCACATTCGCGCTAAGAATTAACTCAGGAATAGTATAAATAGCTCAATAACATTAAAAAAATATATATTTTATTTTATTTTATCCGTCAACATATCTCTAGTTTATCAATTCGATAGGTCTCAAGAAAACAGTTTCATCATTAAACAACAGCCTATTTAACAAACAGAATACACTATTAGTCTCCAAATCTTCTCTCTCTTCGTTCGTCTGCGTCTCCCCCAGCTCAGTGTAGGCAGGGGAGTGGCACATTTACCCCTACGTAACTCTAAAGTAATAAAATCACGTGCATGCGTAGTCCATACACCAATACGATTTCACAGTGGATGGAGCTCTCTCCCAGCTCTCTCCAATCCAGACAACAGAAAGTTAACAGTCCCGCTGTACTTCCTCTCTTTTACCCCTCATAGACAAACAATAACACTTAACAGAGCTCACAAACCATAGGACACAAATCCTACACTATTCTACACAGTTTAAGAGGCTTAATCCATTCATATTGACCTCTAAGGTAGCATGCAGCATGTATCATGTATCATGTATCATGTAGCATGTTACCTCCATTGCGCCGTATAATTCCTTTGTTCTAAATTTGTGCTACCACGAGGTCCGCGGAAATTCAATGAGCGGTCACATCAATCATATAATTCGTCAACCACATGTTGAGCGGTAACTTGCAACCGAATATATATACCACAGCCTCAAGTCTCCTGGACTCACCTAAATACACCTAAGGTGTTTTTAGGATTTTCGGCCCATCCTAGTGATCGCCTCATTAAGAGGGCTAACATAGATTCGCAATGGCTCTAATTTGTACACATTTACCGTAGTTCCTGGCCTTATTCCTTCTATTCTTCAATAGTTATAGACACTCCCCCCTTTTTGCGTTGATTTACCAGCGCAAACAAATTTAGAACGGACTCCTATCCCACAGCAAATCAGCAAAGCACACACGCAAGTTCTTAACGGTGCATTCATTCAACGTACACACACAGACACACTAACTAACCAGAGCCCAAAGTGGTGACAAAACTCACCCTTATCTGCCGGACTCCGGAGCGAAAGTCAGCTCGGCGCCCATGAATGAAACGCTGAGAAAAAAACGCAATACCGTCCCAAATTCCTCGTCGCCATTTTGTTGTGTCGAGAAAATGTTGCTAATTATGCTGTGAGACCAAGGAGAACCGCTGACGCTGTATTTTCATCATAAAGGTTTATTCATAACAAAGGGTTACAGCGTCGATTTACAGATACCTGCAGATATCTGGAGAATAATCGCCCCATCTCAAATATGATTATTCTGTCCTCCTTTGTTCAAAACATGGTATTTATATCCTATGCCATATGTAATATAATATGGGTGGTTTTTCCCTACCAACCAATCCCAGGAGGCCACCTAACAGACTTCCTGAGCTTTATGGTGCCCCTATAGAACTACTCCCCAGATGCTCCCTTTAAGCTGAGTCAACATCCTCTAAAACAATTTGAAACCATTTGCAAAGTCATAAATTCCTCAGATACTACACACTCACATCTGTAGCCATGAAATGCTTTGAAAGGCTGGTCATAGCTCACATCAACACCATCATCCCAGAAACCCTGGACCACTCCTATTCACATACTACCCCAACAGATCCACATATGATGCAATATCTTTTGCACTCCACAACTGCCCTTTCCCACCTGGACAAAAGACCTATGTAAGAATGCTGTTCATTCATTACAGCTCAGCGTTTAACACCATAGTGCCCTCCAAGCTCATCACTGAGCTAAAGACCCTGGGACTGAACACCTCCCTCTGCAACTAGATCTTGGACTTCCTGACGGGCTGCCCCCAGGTGGTGAGGGTAGGCAACAATACATCCGCCTCGCTGACCCTCAACACAGGGGCCCCTCCTGTACTCCCTCTTCACCCACAACTGCGTAGCCGCGCCAGCCTCCAACACCATCATTAAGTTTGCAGACGACACGACGGTGGTAGGCTTGATCACCGACAACGATGAGACAGCCTATAGGGAGGAGGTCAGAGACCTGGCAGTGTGATGGCAAGACCACAACCACTCCCTCAACCTGAGCAAGACAAATTAGCTGATCGTGGACTACAGGAAACAGAGGGCCGAGCACGCCCACATTCACATTGAGGCCCCCCCCCCCCCCCCCCTTATAGGTTAAATGACACAAACTGACCGTTTGCTTCTACACTTCTGTTCTTGTTTTGTTCACTTCTGTAAATTGTATTAGTTCAAAATGCTTTTTATATGTTTACAAGCTACTTGTCTTGGAGTGGCACAGCCGTGTGTGTATGTTTGAGAAGTAGGAAGTGTTTATAACACAAGAGACTATAAAATAAAACAAATATCTCTAGTCACCCTGTCTGTGTTTGCTTAGCCCTGGAAGGCTAAGCTTCTCATAAATCAACAAGAGATTTGGAAGGATGCAGCCACAAGACTAGTATTTGAGGTAACAGGGCCGGCCCTAGCCTTTTGGGGGCCCTAAGCAAGACTTGGTTGGCTAATTGAGTGACTGACATAAGAGAAACTGCTGATGCACAACCAAATCTCAAAAGTGCACCATTCTACTAATCTAACTCAACAGTACGTTGAGACCCTGATGGAGTTCCCCAAAAAATTCATACACTTTTTGTTTTTGTCTAGGGCCAGCCCTGTGAGGTAACCTAACCCCCACACCTTGCTCACACAGCAACACCATCTGTCCTCATGTCATTGCTCCACCTGAGTCACACGGGTCATTGTCTACATTAAAGCTCTTTATAAGACACTGGGAGCAGTCACGGATCCAGCAGGATACCAGCTGACGTGAGTTTATATAAGCAGCATGACTCCTGAGTGGCGCAGTGGTCTAAGGCACTGCATCGCAGTGCTAACTGTGCCACTAGAGATCCTGGTTCGAATCCAGGCTCTGTCGCAGCCGGCCACGACCGGGAGACTCATGGGCGGCGCACAATTGGCCCAGCGTCGTCTAGGGTAGGGGAGGGAATGGCCGGCAGGGATGTAGCTCAGTTGATAGAGCATGGCGTTTGCAACGCCAGGGTTGTGGGTTCGATTCCCACGGGGGGCCAGTATAAAAAAAATATGTAATCACTAACTGTAAGTCACTCTGGATAAGAGCGTCTGCTAAATGACTAAAATGTAATGTAAAATGTAAATGGAGGAGGCTTTAGTCTCAGCCTGTTCATGGCTTTACACTGTCATGGTCAGACAGCATTTAGAAAGACAAAGACATGAACAAGCAATGCTTTATCAAGACACAAACAAGCAAAGTTAACATCTACTCTCCAACTCCTGCTTTATGAATGCCACAGTCAGTCAGACAGCTACTGCATAACACATAACATTTCCCAGTTCTAACATACAAAAATAAATCTTAAATTCATAATTCCAAACAGACGATTTCTGAGTGGATAGATTATTGTAAGTATCTATAGCCAGCTAAATCTGAATAATCCGTCTAAGTTTGTGTTTGATCTGAGGGTGGATACTGGGTAACAAGGGATTGTCTTTGGGTTGAACTTGATTGTCTCTGGGTGTTGAGGAGAAAGTCTGGTTGAATTCCAGTAGTTGCTGCCTCTCCTCCAGGCATTTTAAACAGTTGGGTCATCGCTGTGCTTTCCCTTTACTCTGTCTTCATCTCTCTGTCCCTTGTTTCATCCTCATGGCCTCTCTCCATCACTCGCTCAAAGGCTTCTCCGTCATGGCGATTTCCTTACTAGCACGTTTGGCTGTGGATAAATAAATAAGACAGTTTAAGTTTACTAAAATAGTTTCCTCATAACCTGTGTGTGTGTGTCTACCTGCTTGGGAGCTCCTGTGTAGGTGTTGAATGTAGAGTAGGCCGAGGAACACAGTGAATCCGATGCAGGATGAGATCATACCAACCAACAGGAAACTATAACTGCCTTTACTGTGGATCAACTGAAGTGAGAAACACATTACACCTACAGTAAACACAGTCTATTCATATAAAGCAGTCACACACACACACACACACACACACACACACACACACACACCCTCCTGTGTTCCTTACCTGTCCTGTGAGAAGCTGCAGCACCATCTCTCCTGTCCCAGCACTGGTCACCAGGACAGTAGTGACACAACCTGAGGGAGGGAGAGGAGACTATCTATATCAACTCAAATACAAGCATTCTTACTGTGTGTGTTTGTACCTTTATAGTTGACCATATCTTCTGTGAGGGCCACCATGCAGGGGAACACACTGCTGATGAAGAGGCCTAACATACACGTTCCCATGAAGATGAACACATGGCTGGAGTACAGGATCAACAGCAGACACTGCACCACTATCACCCCCACCTGAAACACAGAGAGACCGAGAGAAAGAGAGGGAGAGCAGGAGAGAGGTAAGATTATTTATTTTGGCATAGTTATCATATGTCCATGCCCTTCTCACTAAATAAAGTTGTAAGGAGGACATCAGCATATTTACCACCTGTAATCTACCTGTAAATGCTTGGTTTTGCTGTAACATTCTAATGCATATATTTATAACTTTATTTGAATTCTTTATTTGAATTCAAACTGGGTTTCGTGCTCTTCACATTGTATGTGTGTGTGTTGTACAAGTGTGCAAAAGACATCCATGCAGCCACCTGACTGTTTTAAAACACACCAATCTCAAATATCTGATCATCTCCAATAATGTCTGTTTCTCAGACGCGTCATCTTAGGCAGTTTCACTTCTCACTTCAACACTCACACGCTACTAGTATGTAAAAACCAAGTGTGTGTCTGTACCAGGCTGACATTGATTAGTCGTTGTTGTGTGTATCTGTATGACAGATATATAGATGCCAGTCTGCCCGTAGTAACAGATGCCCAGAACACACTGGTCAGATAGCCAGCCATCTTGTGAGGCAGAGAGAGTGGAGGAGACACTGCGTAGGTGTAGATGAATCCTGTGTAGGAACCCTGGGTTAAACAAACAACAGGAATTAGTAGGTTGACAGTGAGCAGTCGTGTCTATGTGGGTGTGTGTGTGGCAAAGTTCAGTCTCACAATGATGCCATCGGTGATGAAAGCACGGCTCCGCCCAGAATGTAAAGGAGGAAGTAGGAGGCGGGGCGATCCTTCACATCACCATAGTTACAGCAGCCAAGCAAACCCCCGCGACCTGGATTTATAGTACAGAATGACATGTTTAGTTCAGGGTTCTTCAACCCCAGGCCTGGACAGCTACAGAGTGTTCAAGCTTTTATTCAAGCCCCGCACTAGTGATGTTTTAGTTGGTGAGAAGTTTGGGCTGTAGTGTCTATGGGGTTCCACCCTGGCAGCTGTTGTGGATATTTTAGGGGGGTCTTACATTGGGTTGGGTGAATGTGTGAGGTGTCTTACCCTGTGAGGTGTGAGGGGACTATTGTTAGACTTACCCTGGGTTGGGTGAGAGGTGTCTTACCCTGGATGTTGTGGTCCTGTTGGTTCTTCTCTGAGTTTTTCTCCTTGTCCAGCAGACGAGGGCTCTGGTTGGAGCAGGGGAACAGCCGCTCACGGTACATCAACAAATACACTGCTAAAGGCACAGGCAGCTAGAGAAAGAACATACACAATTGAAAAAATAAAATACAAAATCTCTCTGTGACTCCCTGGTTACTGTCTATGCAAAAGGGCCATCTTTCTCAGTGATCTCGAGGAAGCTTGCCCTGTGGTACAATCTCCCTTTTGTTTTGTTATTCAAATCAACCAGCCACTACTGCTAACCTGCAGCTACTGTATCAACCACAGCTACAACACCACAATCTAACTGCTAACAAAGTGCTTATACACTTACATTGATAAAAGACATGATCCAGAATGCGTAGGAGATGTTGGTGGTGATGATGCCCTCTGTGTGGAGGTGGTAGTGGTTGGATACGTTGTGCAGGGGGGTTGTCCCTTTGCCTGCCAGGGAGCTGCGAAGGTGATGGAGGTCAGTGGAGGAGTTGGCTGTCATGTTCCCCCCCAGAACACAACTCTCCTCAGACAGGAACGGGTCTGCTACCAGGGGACTCACCAACGCACCGAGCCCTGTGAATAAATGCAGGACCTGAGGAGGAGATGGGAGGGGAGAATCATTTTTGTGCAATTTGTGATTAAAATACCCCTGACCCCTCTCACTTTCTCCTCCCCTCCATCCCTCCTCCTTCCCCCTCCCTTACTCCCTCCTCCCTCCCTCTCTCTCTGACCTGTAGGAACACTGCTGAATCTTTCTGGTAGAGCTTCACCAGCTGCTGGTTGGCGATGGTGTCAATCACCCCCATTGCCGTGCCAGATATTGCCATGGCAACGGCAAGCATCAGCACATGGTGGCATAGTGGGATTATGGCAAAAACCACAGAGATGACAAGACTAGAGACGAAGAGAGCTGAGAGGGCGCAGCGGAGCCTGGAAAGAGGAGGGAGGGGGACAGATATTAGAGCACTATTTTGGGTAACAGTGGCTTTGGTAAAGAGAGAAATTAAAACAGTTAACAACAATTTATAGCTCCCTCTGTTTAAGGTAATTGAGCCCCCTTGCTGGCCCTCTCGCTCCACTTCCAGTCACATCTGGCCTGCTTAGCTCTCCCCTCTCTGGTCTTAACCCATGGCTAGAGGCAGCTCCAGGTAGGTAGGGTAGCTGAGGGGCTGTTTCTCCAGCTCTACTAGCATGGGCAGTATTGTAGCAGGAATGTCACCTTGACCCAATCCCCATTGATTAGTGCTACGGTCGTATTTACCCTGTTTGTCAGAGTTTATCAGACCCCCTGAGGCACCTAGTGTACAGCGAGCCCCGCCTTATCTCTACCTCCATTCCGCCAACTTCCCACTCCCTCGCTCTGAGCTGGTTTGAGAACTAACATTCCATTAGACTGGGTCCCTAATAAACACGGCAAGTTGCAGTTAACACCAGAATACGTCCATCTCTCTTTTTCTCTCTCTCACTACCTCAATCTCTCTCTCTTCCCATCACTCTCACTCTCTCTCCCTTCCTGTTTCTGCCAAGGAGTATCACAGTTTTAAACAAAAGCAAAGCACTTTAAGCCTTGTCTGGTCTGTCAAGTCTGTGGTATAACTGTATATTCTTGACTTGGGCAATTCCACAGCAGCAGAAATTTTTTTGTTATCTCAGATTGCTCTGGCAATTCTCACATAGAAACTTCATTGGGAGGAAAGTTGTTTAACATGCTTTTAACGTGTCACAAACCTGTTTTGAGAAAATCATGATGAAATTGGCAATTTTAGGCCCTTTTTAGACCTATACATGCCTCCTGTAACATTTACATTTTACATTTTAGTCATTTAGCAGACGCTCTTATCCAGAGCGACTTACAGGAGCAATTAGGGTTAAGTGCCTTGCTCAAGGGCACATCGACAGATTTTTCACCTAGTCGGCTCGGGGATTAGAACCAGCGACCTTTCGGTTACTGGCACTACGCTCTTAACCACTAAGCTACCTGCCGCCCCCAAGACCCTATGATCTGTGAACTGTACATGACACATAATATGTTGGTGTCATTATACTCCTTATAGTGTTCTCTCAAATATGCAGTATGTCTAGATTCTGATATACACATTTTCACAGTCATTTATTCAACATAAAAAACATTTATATCTCATTGGACAAGGTATGACAACAACCCATGCTTTGGTTTGTTTACCTGGCTGCTGTTACCTTTTTTGCATTTGTCACACAAATCAAGTCAATGGTACCTAGATTTGCATTTTCACGCTTCATATCCAAATCATCTCAAGTAACATAATTGAGTTACAAGATACTTTAGGATGATTTGAACACAAAATGCTAATATAGGTACCACTGACTTGCATTGGACTTGCGCCACAAATGCTAAAAAGTTAGCATTTGAAACAGTGGCCAGGTAAACAAAACCAAAGCACAGGTTGCTGTCATACCTTGTCCACAGACTGCTTACAGGGTAAGGAAACCAAAATGTAATTTAATAATTTGGGTGAACTATCCCTTTAACATTGAGGGGGGGTTCTTAAAAAAAAAAGACGAGCAGGAACAGCACCATCTAGGGGTCAGAACCTGGTAATACCAGGATGTAGGATAAGACATAAACCTAACAACTTCAATGACTAATTTCTCTGAACACGGGAAAGAACCATCACCAAATTCACTGGGAATGCATTACATAGGATGAGGAAACAATAGTCCGAGCCGCAGCTCCATACCACTCGTCAAACATAGAGAACTGATAATGTATACTCGTTGTTGGGATTGGCGTGGGGTGTGGGGGGTCTGTGGGTGACTTTTGTCAATTTCTTTGGAATCCTCATGTCTTACTCATTAGCTAGGTTTCCATCCAATTGGCAACAGATTTTCATGCAAATATTCGAAAATCTGCATAAAGAAAATATGCAAATTTTTCCACCCGTGGTGCATTTCCACCAAACTGACTTGTTGCGGATAAAAATTAGTGCGTGATGATGTAGTGCACACAACATTTTATTTTTCGCTTAAGTTTTCAAGTGTTTCCATCACATTTTCAACTCCACCGATAGTTTTGTCACAAATATGTTGCATTAAATAGCAAATGTGCCTTCTCTGGTCTTGGCACGTGCTAGGTATGCTAGTCTACATGATGAGATTATTGTGGATATTTTTATTTGTCAAATGGCAGTCAGGCATCGATCATCATGTCACCAGAATAAGACCCTTGATATTTATTGGAAATGAGCATCAAGATCACTGTGCACGTTCACCACCCTGTGAAGTTCATCATAACATATTTCATCTGTAGCCTAATAAACTGCATGGTTTCCCGAGTCGTAGAGGGAGGACCACACACCATATCATTGCGTGACTCCAAGTCTACTTCGATATGATGGTTATTATATCAATATTTGTGCATAAAGGAGTTTTTTTACAGACCCCAAAAGATCCCAGCACCTTGTATAGCGTATTTTGCTTTGTTGACATTTGGAAAGTTTACAGACAAATTTGCATCAGGCCTGTCATGACATTTTTTATCAGACATGTGGTTGGTTGCACAACCTGGTCTCCGAGCATTTCGTATTATTCTGCACTTCTATCTGAGACAATCCATTAAGTATGATACATTACATTTCGTATGTTTTTTTTTTAAATTTATGGCTGTCCATCACCTATTCCGTATGATATGTTACGAATTTGCAAAATGTATGATATATTAGGAATTCTAGCTAGGTGGCTAATGTTAGCTAGCTCGCTAACGTTAGCTAGGCTAGGGGTTAGGAGTTAAGGTTAGGGGAAAGGTTAGCTAAAAGGGTTGAGGTTAGGGGAATGGTTAGCTAAAAGGGTTAAGGTTAGGTGAAAGGTTAGCTAAAAGGGTTAAGGTTAGGTGAAGAGTTAGCTAAATGGTTAGGAGAAGGGTTATCTAACATGTTAAGTAGTTGCAAAGTAGCTAAAAAGTAGTAAGTAGTTGAAAAGTTGCTAAAATGCTAAAGTTGTCCGTGATGAGATTTAAACTCGCTACCTTTGGGTTGCTGGACCTTCATGTTATACGCCTACCCAACCACCCTACTTTTGATTTTGCCTTAAGTAACCATCTGTCTTATGTAACCATACCAAATGTAAGATACTGTATCATACTTAATGCAGTGTCTCGGATTTAGGTACAGAATAATATGAAACCAGGTTGGTACTTTACACACATAAAAATGTTGGATGGAAACCTGGTTATTGAAACGTGCATGTCGTTTTAGTGACGCTGTCAGCTAACCCGACTATGGTCATTGTCATTTCAATTCATGATATACCCATTGGTTCTTGAATAATATTGCTAATATACAGGGGCGCAACTTTGGCTTTAGAAGTGGGGGGACAATCATTATTTTTATTTTTTCTCAGTCAGATAAACACTCCAAACAGCCTATCCGACCGCTCGGAGGCGTCCGCATGGTTCTAAAGCACACCGTCGCCTCGTTTTGTATCCCATTCCAATGACAAAACTGGTGGGGACAAAAATGCAATTTCAGAATGTGGGGGGGACATGTGAAATTTGCACCCCTGCTAAAATATGCCTCAAGAGCTTAGCACAACTGTCTTACCCTATATCATAAACCACAATATAAAGCGTTATTACTCCATCCTTTGTTCACAAATAACAGGAACTTAAAGGACACAAATATATAGTTTCAAAACTTATGATGTTTAAAACTAGTCTACCATGTGGATGTTATGACTGTCAGTCCTTTGCATCTAGGGCACTGTCAATGAATTAGAAAGGTTACATCTCCTCAATCCCTCAGCTGCACACCAAAACAAGTGGAGGGGCTGCTGTTAATTGCTGTTGCTGAAAAACAAATCCCAGGTTGTAGTTTCAAAATCACTTGAAACTAAATTTACCCCAACCCTGACACACATTGGCCACACCAGTAGCCAGACATCTGACACTCACGTCTTCTTGAAGAGTCCCCCTAGGGCGCTCCCCAGCATGAGGAAGAATTGTTGGGCGAAGAAGACCCAGGTGATCTCCTGCAGAGTGGACTGGGTCTGACACCTCAGGTCCAGGATGGTCGGCCCCAGGAACGCGATACAGAGCCCGAAACTGAAGAACACGCTCCAGTAGGTCAGTGTGTGCCGCCAGTGGCGCTTGAACAAAGCCCAGACCAGATCATCTACAAACATCATCTCGTAGTCGCCGTGACAAGCACTGGAGCTGTTTAAGAGAGGGAAACCATCTAATTTAATTGAGACGAAGGTTATAAGGAGACCTCGACGTGCACCGACAACAAAACCCCTGAAGTTATTTATAGTTGGCTGGCGAAGTTGGGATGCCTGCATATGGTTGGTAGGTTGAGTTAATAAACTGTTGTTTGCCTCCCAGTCACGTCACACTGATAGACCTGTCAAACTCGCAGTGCCCTCCCCTTTCCCCTGGAGACTGATGTCCATCACTGAACTCAACAGTGCTGCTCGGTAGGAGAGAAGGGCATCTTCCAAGGCTAGATTTTCCTGTTTAGCTATAATCTATGTTATGTGAAGTGCCATTGTCGTTATTTTCCGTGTAATGCATTTTAATGGAGGGTTTTCCATTTTCTGGATCTGTCCGTCCATTGAATAGGTCTATTTGGTCTGTGTTGCGCCTCCTGTCGGTCTTCCTCAATCTCATTATGAGCACGAGATTCATGATATTAATAAATAGGTTATGGTCAATATCATACAGCGGATCATGAGTGACAAAATATGGATGATTAGATGTCCAAGGTAGTATGAAAGCCAGATTTGGAAGTGTGACACCTATTGAACACTTTACATTTTCTTGCTTTCTATTTAATTTCAGTATAAGTACTGAATGAGAGCCGGTCATTGTGCTACAGAGTGATGTAATTTATTCATTTATCAGTTATTTATTATTTGATCACTTTTGGCTTCTTGGCAGTCACAATACATTCAGTTTCTAGTTTTAATAATAGCGCAGTAGACAAATCACACAAAATATTGAATATCACATTTTATACAAAATCTAAATATACTTTATATCTTTTATAAAACATTTAGACATCATCTACAGTCATTTAATACAGTCATGTCTTGTATCATCTGGCATAAAATTCACTGAGAAAGAAGAAAAACATCTCTTAAAGGTCCAATGCAGCAGTTTCTATCTCAATATCAAATCATTTCTGGGTTACAATTAAGTACTTTACTGTGATTGTTGTCAATTAAAATGGTAAAAAAGAAACAAATATCTAAATAACCAGATAGCTTCTTAGCAAAGAGCAATTTCTCAAGCAAGAATTTTGCTAAGACTGTATGGGAGTGGTCTGAGTGAGGGGAAAACTGAAAACTAGCTGTTATTGGCAGAGAGGATTGGAACGCTCTTTCTAATTGGTCTATTAACTTATTTACCGCCGGACAGTAAACAGGTAGTATTTTCAAACAGCTCTTATACTAAAAGGGCATTATCATAATTTTTTTTTTTTTAATGTGACTGCACTGGGCCTTTAAAGTACATATATATTATTTATTTTCATTACAGTACAGTATTTAAAATATCTTAATTTACCACAGCAAAACATATACAGTAGGCTAATACTTCTGCCCCAGAGGTTGCTAAAATAAACAGAGGGGAAGTTTAAATGTGTAACACACAGATCGCCATCTCTCCCAGTGGGTCCCAATGCTTTTGGCTTCCCTTCCTTACCTTATTTCCGTCATGGCCACTGATAGGACTGGATAAGTGTCCACCATATTGCTTTTACCTGTCCGTTTTTTCAGTTTGGTGGTGAGGAAGTAAAGGAGACAAGGAAAGTTAGCTCTATAAGATTATTGGCTTTGTCTCCAGTGTGGGGTAGAGAGAACAGCATCTGAGTAGTCTATAGTGGCTCCCTCTCCTTGTTCCCTTTCCTTCATCAGATGTGAATGTGCTGGACACACAGAGGTGTAAGCAGCTTGATTCCCAGTAGGCTTACCCAAAATTGCTTTTCAGTGACCCTGTCTTTTTATAACAGTTTATATGAATGAGAGGAGAAGAGGAAGCCCCTCAAGACTAGATGCACCCTAGGTTAGGAGAGAGGTAGGTGAGAGGAGGTTAGGTGAGAGGTAGGGGAGAGGACATGAGATGAGGACAGATTAGACAGTGATGTCGTACATGTCCAGATTATTCAGGAAGTAGCCTATATCTGCTCTGGGAGCCAAATGGAATTCCCAAGCCCATTTCCCAGGGGGAGGGAACAAGTGCACACTTCAGAGAGAAGTGGGGGAAATCAGAATTTGTGTTCCAGTGAATGGAAGTGAATAAACCAATTGGAATAGTCGGTTCCAATATGCAATTCCAGGTTCATTATGTAATGGTCTTTGTCTAATCATTCTTCATCTTAATCTAGAGCCAGTCCAGGAACACTCTTCAGATGTGACTTCAGGTTTGTGCAAATAGGAGACTCAGAGATACGATCACTAAACTTGTGTTATTCACTAATGCAAAGTAAATGCCCACAACACATACTGTAGGTTTCTATATATCATATTTTGAAGAAAGAAATCTCTAGCACATTTTACTAAGGCAATTTCAAAAACGTGAGAAATGTACTGTAATACTGATTTTAATGAAATCCCCACTAGGTGAAATCATGGGGTGGTTATGTAGAGGCAGGTTTGTCGGAAATGGACTCTTCCCCAACTGTTCAGATTTAGTTTGGATTTAGAGTTTTGGTCTCAGATGGTGGTTGTGTTGCAAGGTGCTAACTCTGTGTTATTTTATTACAAGGGGACATGAACAGAAGGAGAGGAGGAAGGGAAAGCGAGAAGTGGAGATCAGTGAAACATGCAGAGTGATTGGTTAGCTTGAGTGTCTGCAGGGGACTGAGTGTGAAGGGGATTGGGTAAGAGAATGGGAGATAGTTCCTAGTCAGTCCCCAGAATCATGAGAGTAGAATGCTCATATAGAAGGACCTCGGCTCCAAGCCGTTTGAGGTGCAGTGCTAGTTCATTCTCAGAAACCCTGTCTGTATCCATCCTCTGTTGTGTGGAGGGAGAGGGTTAGATGTGTGTGTGTTTGTGTAAATTTAACTTTAACCTTTATTTAACCAGGAAAGACTTTTGAGGTTAGACTGATGTAACCTGGATGTTTGTGTTTGCATTTGTATTTCTGTTTGTATGAGGGATTGGAGTGCGTTTGTCTTCAAAGCCGATTCCTCCTTGAGGCTTTCTCTCCCTGTCTGCACTCCTTCGGCTGGTCTTCCTTTAGAATATGCTCTGCCTTCTGTTCTTCCCCCGACCTGGATTTGGTAAAGAGAACAGGAGGATTACATTTACATTTACATTTTAGTCATTTAGCAGACGCTCTTATCCAGAGCGACTTACAGTTAGTGAGTGCATACATTTTTATTTTTTTATATTTTTGTTTTTTTTCATACTGGCCCCCCGTGGAAATCGAACCCACAACCCTGGCGTTGCAAACGCCATGCTCTACCAACTGAGCTACATCCCTGCTGGCCATTCCCTCCCCTACCCTGGACGACGCTGGGCCAATTGTGCGCCGCCCCATGGGTCTCCCGGTCACGGCCAGCTACGACAGAGCCTGGATCACATGAATGAACTGAACATGTTTCATGGTTTATTTGCAGTAGTTGTTTTTTGTGTTATTTGATGGTTTATGGGATTAGTAAATAAAGGTAAAAAAAAAAAAAAAATATATATATATATATATATATATATATATATATATATATATATATATATATATACTGTATTTGTTGTATTGTACCTGGAGGCTGGAACACTGAGCTGCGGTGGCCTGGGTCTTTCTGCAGTTTAATTTCTCTGAGGGAAAACACTGATGAGGCTAGAGAGGGGGGTGGTGGTGAGAGAGAGAGAGAGAAAAAAAGTGAGAAGGAGTGAGAGAGAACAATGAGAGAGAGAGAGGGAGTGAGAGAGAACAGAGAGAGACAGAGAGAGAGAGAGAGAGAGAGAGAGAGAGAGAGAGAGAGAGAGAGAGAGAGAGAGAGAGAGAGAGAGAGAGAGAGAGAGAGAGAGAGAGAGAGAGAGAGAGCATAAAGCACAACACATAAATTGCCACTTAATACATCATCCTCACCACATGATTGAAGTCAAATACATTTCATGTGTGTGTCTTACTGTCTGCGAGGCTGTGGATGTTCTCTCCCAGACTGAGGAAGTAGGGGTGTCTAAGAGATGCTTCAGCTGAGACTCTGGTCCTAGTGTCATACTGAAATAACACAGGGAAATACACACAACACCAGAATAAAGGTTTGGTATTTAACCTCTACGGGATCGGTGTCTCGTATATACGAGACGGTTGAGCTAACGTGCGCTAATGTAATTAGCATGACTGTTGTAAGTAACAGCAATCCTTCCAGGACATAAACATGTCTTATATGGGCAGAAAGCTTAAATTCTTGTTAATCTAACTGCACTGTCCAATTTACAGTAGCTATTACAGTGGAAACATACCATGCTATTGTTTGAGGAGAGTGCACAACAACAAAAAACTTATCACGGCAAATGGTTTGATACATTCACCTCTGAAGGTAAATAATGTACTTATATTCAGTAATCTTGCTCTGAGTTGTCATCCTAAGGTCCCAGAGATAAAATGTAGCATAGTTTTGTTTGATAAAATCAATTTTTATATTTAAATGTAGGAACTGGGTTCTACAGTTTGAACCCCTGCTGTCTCTGGCTCCACACCCACCCCGCCCGGCCATCTAGATGTGTGAAAGTTAGTGTATAAGCTAATGATCCATCATGTATGACATTCCTGGGAGTGTGTAAACTTACATTTGGTATTACCATATAATTTTTGTATGTTCTCTATAGTTATGTACTTGAAAATGTATCAATTGATGAATTCGGCACATTTGGCCAGACTTGATACATAATAGTCCAGTATTGCAACGCTTCACTGGATCAATCTGAAACTTTGCACACACACTAATACCATCTAGTGGCCAAAATCTAAATTGCACCTAAACTGTTATATTATATTGTGGCCTTTCGCTTGCATTTCAAAGATGATGGAACAAAAAAACAAAACATTTATATATTTTTTACAAGATCTAATGTGTTATATTCTCCTACATTAATTTCACATTTCCACAAACTTCAAAGTGTTTCCTTTAAAATGGTATCAAGAATATGCATATCCTTGCTTCAGGTCCTGAGCTACAGGCAGTTAGATTTGGGTATGTCATTTTAGGCTAAAATGGAAAAAAAAAGGGTCAGATCCTTAAGAGGTTAACACTAGTGGTTACAGGTTGGTGTGGATGTGTTTCTTACCAGGAGTAGAGCAGTTAGCATGTCAATCCCCTCAGTATCCAGCCTGGAGAGGACAGTAGACTGTGGTTATGTTACTGGGTTGTGGTTTGTGTTACCTGAGCTAGTGGTTGGTGAGTGGTCTTATTGCAGTAATGCTGTGGTTGTGTTACCTAGGCACGTGGTTGATGAGTGGCTGAGGTCTGTACTCAGGGAACATGTAGGATCTGAACTCATCATTATTGGAGATACCTGGCCAGCTGTCCTCTTTTGGGGTACCTGAGAAAGAGAGAGAGAGAGAGAGAGAGAGAGAGAGGGGAGAGGTTAATGTAAATGCTTCATATTCTATGTCTGTATGGGGGGTTGTATCTAGTTACCCCAGCAAGATTGCCCCCTGTGCTATAAATGAAAGAGTAGAATTACCAATGAGTCTGAAGACTAAGTGCAGCTCCTCCTTCACTGAGGAGCCGGGGAACATGGGACGACCCGTCGCCATCTCAAATAGAATACAGCCCACGCCCCTTTACCACACACACAGGAAGCACAGACACACAGGATTGAAATGAAAAGTGAAAGGGCGTGTTCGACATAGCAGATTATTTGTAGATCAGTCAGTCACAATTGACCCATGATACATCACAGTATTGATGCTCTGGAACACGTCCAACGTGATCTTTGGAGACTAATGCCTGAAAGGAGGTGGTAATGCCTCACAGTGTGTATGGAAATAACAAACCCCTGGAGCCGCACACACACTCACACTCTTATGGACTCACATCACATTGTCCAGACCATCATGCACACACACACACACACACACACACACACACACACACACACACACACACACACACACACACACACACACACACACACACACACACACACACACACACACACACACGGGTAAACATTTCACTTTTAGTCTACACAGCATGTGACAAATAACATTTGATTTGATTTGACATATAGCGGGAGGTTTGTCAGTAGAACAGAGACACACACACAAATCAAAGAGCAGGCCTGTGTACGAGCCAGGGTGTAATAGAGTACAATGATTTCCTTTGTTTATCACTAGGGGTCTCTGCTCCGATGGAGACCCATCCACTGATGAAAATAATGTGTTGCAAATTAGTTGAAAGTTTCTGTATTGTGTTGCTGGATAACAGCCTTTGGAGATTCAAGGTAAATGAATGTGATGCAGAAATGATCACCATGGTGATTGCTTATATCAGGCGTGAAGGCTTACATGCGAGTTAAGTGAAGGAACAGCTTAGCTACAGTGGCTTGCGAAAGTATTCACCCCCTTAGCATTTTTCCGATTTTGTTGCCTTACAACCTGGAATTAAAATTGATTTTTGGGGGTTTGTATCATTTAATTTACACAACATGCCTACCACTTTGAAGATGCAAAATACTTTTTATTGTGAAACAAACAAGAAAGAAGACAAAAAATTGAAAACTTGAGCATGCATAACTATTCACCCCCCCCAAAGTCAATACTTTGTACAGCCACCTTTTGCAGCAATTACAGCTGCAAGTCTCTTGGGGGTATGTCTCTATAAGCTTGGCACATCTAGCCACTGGGATTTTTGCCCATTCTTCAAGGCAAAACTGCTCCAGCTCCTTCAAGTTGGATGGGTTCCGCTGGTGTACAGCAGTTTTTAAGTCATACCACAGATTCTCAATTGGATTGAGGTCTGGGCTTTGACTAGGCCATTCCAAGACATTTAAATGTTTCCCCTTAAACCACTCGAGTGTTGCTTTAGCAGTATGCTTAGGGTCATTGTCCTGCTGGAAGGTGAACCTCCATCCCAGTCTCAAATATCTGGAAGACTGAAACAGGTTTCCCTCAAGAATGTCCCTGTATTTAGCGCCATCCATCATTCCTTCAATTCTGACCAGTTTCCCAGTCCCTGCCGATGAAAAACATCTCGTTTGGTGTTCTCGGGGTGATGAGAGGTGTTGGGTTTGCGCCAGACATAGCGTTTTCCTTGATGGCCAAAAAGCTCAATTTTAGTCTCATCTGACCAGAGTACCTTCCTCCATATGTTTGGGGAGTCTCCCACATGCCTTTTGGCGAACACCAAACGTGTTTGCTTATTTTTTTCTTTAAGCAATGGCTTTTTTTCTGGCCACTCTTCCGTAAAGCCCAGCTCTGTGGAGTGTACGGCTTAAAGTGGTCCTATGGACAGATACTCCAATCTCCGCTGTGGAGCTTTGCAGCTCCTTCAGGGTTATCTTTGGTCTCTTTGTTGCCTCTCTGATTAATGCCCTCCTTGCCTGGTCCGTGAGTTTTGGTGGGCGGCCCTCTCTTGGCAGCTTTGTTGTGGTGCCATATTCTTTCAATTTTTTAATAATGGATTTAGTGGTGTTCCGTGGGATGTTCAAAGTTTCAGATATTTTTTTATAACCCAACCCCTACAACTTTGTCCCTGATCTGTTTGGAGAGCTCCTTGGTCTTCATGGTGCCGCTTGCTTGGTGGTGCCCCTTGCTTAGTGGTGTTGCAGACTCTGGGGCCTTTCAGAACAGGTGTATATATACTGAGATCATGTGACAGATCATGTGACACTTAGATTGCACACAGGTGGACACAACTAATTATGTGACTTCTGAAGGTAATTGGTTGCACCAGATCTTATTTAGGGGCTTCATAGCAAAGGGGGTGAATACATATGCACGCACCACTTTTCCGTTAAGTAATCTTTTTCATTTCACTTCACCAATTTGGACTGTTTTGTGTATGTACATTATCCAAATAAAAATAAATTTAAATTACAGGTTGTAATGCAACAAAATAGGAAAAATGCCAACTGGGAAGAATACTTTTGCAAGGCACTGTATGTTGCTGTGATGATGTATAGTGTGGACAACACATCTAATCAAAACATGGTTTCCCTCATTTAGGTTTCCACTGTTGTTAATGAAGGTTAATCAATGTGACAGACACGTAGAGGAGGTTTGCTAAAATGCCTCTGTCTCTGTGAGTCAGAATGGAGGTGTGTGCGTGTGTGTCTGTGTGTGTGTGTGTGTAGTGTACTACTCACCACATGTCGATGGGTGTAGAGTACTCTGTGGTACCCAGAAGTACTTCAGGGGGGCGGTACCATAGAGTCACCACCTCGTTGGAGTAGGTCTTAGTGGGCACAGACTTGGCCCGTGCCAGACCTGACCAATCAAACAAACAGTCATGAGCTGGATCTCCGAGAGGGAATATTATCTACTGATCTGGTCTACTATCTACATGCAGGATGGGTGTTGAAAAGGTTAGGGATAATATAGAGGGAGACCTGTTGCTAAGTTACCAATGTCTGTGTATCTATCTTTATGGGGAGACTATCTGATGTATGTGCGTGTGTGCATGTCATACCAAAGTCAGCTAGTTTGAGCTCTCCCTTGTCGTTGATGAGCAGGTTCTGAGGTTTGAGGTCTCTGTGAAGGATCTTCCTCTTATGGCAGTAGGACAGACCACGTAACAACTGGAACATAAAGATCTACAGAGACAGAGAGAGAGAGAAGAAGAGAAGATGATGATGATGAACTGTGTTCAGTAGGGGTGACCAGAGCCATATATTTCGAGAGTTAGGACATTGAGGGTTCTGCATTATGATGCATTTACATGACACAGTACAATCAAATAATTCCATACGGCAACCATGTTAGCTCCCCATGGGCAGTATTGACCAATAGCAATTCATGGATTTTTTCTTAATTTTAAACAATGCTATGTTACTGAACTTCTAAAATTAGAATCCAAATACTTGTCATGAATGGATAAATGGAATGCTCAATGGCAGCAACATGGCGTCCATTCTAAAAGGTGGCCGAACTCTATATATATACAGTGGGGAGAACAAGTATTTGATACACTGCCGATTTTGCAGGTTTTCCTACTTACAAAGCATGTAGAGGTCTGTAATTGTTATCATAGGTACACTTCAACTGTGAGAGACGGAATCTAAAACAAAAATCCAGAAAATCACATTGTATGATTTTTAAGTAATTAATTTGCATTTTATTGCATGACATAAGTATTTGATACATCAGAAAAGCAGAACTTAATATTTGGTACAGAAACCTTTGTTTGCAATTACAGAGATCATACGTTTCCTGTAGGTCTTGACCAGGTTTGCACACACTGCAGCAGGGATTTTGGCCCACTCCTCCATACAGACCTTCTTCAGATCCTTCAGGTTTCGGGGCTGTCGCTGGGCAAAACGGACTTTCAGCTCCCTCCAAAGATTTTCTATTGGGTTCAGGTCTGGAGACTGGCTAGGCCACTCCAGGACCTTGAGATGCTTCTTACGGAGCCACTCCTTAGTTGCCCTGGCTGTGTGTTTCGGGTCGTTGTCATGCTGGAAGACCCAGCCACGACCCATCTTCAATGCTCTTACTGAGGGAAGGAGGTTGTTGGCCAAGATCTCGCAATACATGGACCCATCCATCCTCCCCTCAATACGGTGCAGTCGTCCTGTCCCCTTTGCAGAAAAGCATCCCCAAAGAATGATGTTTCCACTTCCATGCTTCACGGTTGAGATGGTGTTCTTGGGGTTGTACTCATCCTTCTTCTTCCTCCAAACACGGCGAGTGGAGTTTAGACCAAAAAGCTCAATTTTTGTCTCATCAGACCACATGACCTTCTCCCATTCCTTCTCTGGATCATCCAGATGGTCATTGGCAAACTTCAGACGGGCCTGGACATGCGCTGGCTTGAGCAGGGGGACCTTGCGTGCGCTGCAGGATTTTAATCCATGACGGCATAGTGTGTTACTAATGGTTTTCTTTGAGACTGTGGTCCCAGGTCTCTTCAGGTCATTGACCAGGTCCTGCCGTGTAGTTCTGGGCTGATCCCTCACCTTCCTCATCATCATTGATGCCCCACGAGGTGAGATCTTGCATGGAGCCCCAGACCGAGGGTGGTTGACCGTCATCTTGAACTTCTTCCATTTTCTAATAATTGCACCAACAATTGTTGCCTTCTCACCAAGCTGCTTGCCTATTGTCCTGTAGCTCATCCCAGCCTTGTGCAGGTCTACAATTTTATCCCTGATGTCCTTACACAGCTCTCTGGTCTTGGCCATTGTGGAGAGGTTGGAGTCTGTTTGATTGAGTGTGTGGACAGATGTCTTTTATACAGGTAACGAGTTCAAACAGGTGCAGTTAATACAGGTAATGAGTGGAGAACAGGAGGGCTTCTTAAAGAAAAACTAACAGGTCTGTGAGAGCCGGAATTCTTACTGGTTGGTAGGTGATCAAATACTTATGTCATGCAATAAAATGCTAATTAATTACTTAAAAATCATACAATGTGATTTTCTGGATTTTTGTTTTAGATTCTGTCTCTCACAGTTGAAGTGTACCTATGATAAAAATTACAGACCTCTACATGCTTTGTAAGTAGGAAAACCTGCTGTATGGCTCTGGGGGACTAACCTTGACATTGTTCATGCTCATCAGGTTTCCACAGTTGTCCAGGTACTGTTTCAGATCACTGTCCTGAGAGACACACAGACAAACACAAACACACACACTATTTCAGAACTTTAACATGAACATGAAGCTATATAAAAAAGCAGATATAACACTGGTTATTAAACTGCCCATAAAGTATTTGAAAGATGTTTGAACTACTCACCAGGTACTCAAAGACCAGAGTGAGGGAGCGTTCTGTGTGTATGATGTCATGCAGTGTGACAATGTTGCTGTGTTTTAGGTTCTTCAGTAGAGACACTGCAGAGACACAGAGAAAATGGTTGGATGCAGCTCTGGCTGCATGGAGGACATGGTAATGACATTTTAGCTCCACTGGGTGGCGTCACGCCCATTTCTATGGGCACAAGCACTGTTCCTGACACAAACTGTTCACACCCCTCTTGTTGGCAGAGCGAAAATGTTGCATGTTTAAAGCTTATTTTCTGCAATTCTACACATTTTGCCATGTCTTATGTGTGTTCATGTGATATTTGAGTAACTCAAACATTATATCAAATTCTATGGGCTAAAAAACCTAGCTAAAAAACATTAGCTGACATGGGCTAGTTGAGCTGGACATTTCTGACAAGTTATAAATAGCTCTCTAAAGTATGCAGTGACTGACATGATGATGCACTACCCAATTAAAAAATTGCACCTTGTGCATTCTACTATTCCAACTTTCTAGAGTAAGTAGAAAGCCGGACTGAGTTTCTTACATTTGTATTTATTTATTTGGGGGGACCACTGAGCTACTGTAGTAAATCTCAGCCCTGTTGGAACACTTTTTTGGGTATGTGTGGTGTGAGGAGGGGTGAGCAGAGGTTAGGAGAGAGGTTTGATGGTTCTATAGGGTGCTGTGTGTTACCTTCTCTGATAGCTGTACAGGGTGCTCCCTCCTCATGTTCTAGCCTAATCTCTTTCAGCGCCACCAGGTTCTCTGTCAGTTTGCTCCGACCCTTAAAAACGGTGGCATACGTACCCTACACAGGAACAGGAAGTAATTGAAACAGGAAATAGGAAACAGGAAGGAATAGTCAATCACATCAGTCAGTTTTCTTTCTCACATATAATGATCGTCACTTTCTGGCTATGCCAAATGTCTAACCCTGACCCTTTTAACTACTGAGCCTAACCCTTCCCCATAACCTTACCCCTAACCATAACCCAAACCCTAACCTATTAAGAATAAGGTTAATTTGCTTTATGTCATTGCTGTCTCTCTCTTGAAACACTGGCTTGTTTCATTGCAGGATGTAAGGTATTTAAAGAGGACCACCTTGTTATGTGGAGGAGCAGTCATGGTTGACCATTCATTGGTTCTGTTAGTTTACTGTAAACACATGTCTTAACTCCCCCCTCTGGTTTGAGATGACCTAGACTGCAAAACATTCCAGAACACTGCTCCCACCCTGATGCTGCCCATGTTCACTCCCCTTCACAGATCTGGCAGGACTGAATAGGTGTAAGAAATATGAAGGAAACTAAGTAGGGGGATTGCTTACACCTATCCAGCTATTGTAGATTGGTGAAACCCAGTAGGTCCCCAGAGACTGTGTTGACTCACTTGTCTCCTGTTAGACTTTCTTAAGGGAGCTAGATGAGGTAAAAGGGAAGGTGAATACCCACACACTGGGAATACCCACACACCTTTACTTTCAAGTTTCTCCTTTCTTTTCACATGCTATTCTCTGTATCCTGCACCTATTAAATCAGCTGGATGTGTGCCTTGAACTGCATCTGAAAGAGCATAACCATAGCGACACACACTTACCTCTCCCAGTTTGCCAAGTTTCACGTACGTCTCCAGCTTTCCAAAGCCAATGTCAGACTGCATGGAAAAACACATAAGGTAGCCTACTATAGTTAGGTCAATAGGGTATTATTACAGTATTGGGATATTGGTTAGTTATGTGTAGGGTAACTGTGCTGTAGGGTTATGACTGGTAAATTGATATATGTATGGTTATGACCATATGGTTTAGGGATCATGGTATTGGGATACTGTGATATTGGGTATAGGGGGTAGTCTACTGGGTATTGGGGTATGGGTATATTAGGCTATTGGGGTATGGGGGGTACAGGGTACTGACCAGTGATGCCCGTCAGGACATGCGTCTGAGGAGTTTGCAGGGAGGAGAGTTGTTCTCACTCGCCATCTCCCTCTCCATCTGCAGCTTCTTGAGGAACTCTGGAGGCAGGCGGATGTCCATGGGTATTGACGTATGGGTGTATTACGGTATATAGGGGTACGGGTATGTGATACTGACCAGTGAAGCCCGTAGGGACATGCGTCTGAGGGGTTTGATTTAGGGTATGGGTGTATTAGGGTATAGGGGTATGAGGTATAGGGGTACGAGGTATGGGGTACTAACCAGTGAAGCCCGTCGGGACATGCGGCTGAGGGGTTTGCAGGGAGGAGAGTTGTTCTCACTCTCCATCTCCCTCTCCATCTGCAGCTTCTTGAGGAACTCTGGAGGCAGGCGGATGTCCATGGGCAGAGACATACGCTTACTCACGTCCTGCAGATAATCAATAATCAGTCATCAATATGCAATACTCACACATAATCAATCATTATTTGTCAATATACACACATCATAAATGGGCAATATTCTCACATGATTAATGACACATTGCACCAGAACGTTCATCGCCAGACAAAGGTTATCACAGTGTACAGGTGAGGAGAGATTGTGGCTATTTAAAGCTAGGGATGATTAGACAAGCATTGGTTTGAGAATGTAATCTTCTCTCTGTGGGTCTATTCTGTATGAATGGAGACCTGTTTGAATGTAGGGCGAGATTTATCAAACCTCTTTTAAATTAATCTCTTCTCCCAGTCTCTCACCCTCTGACACAGTTTCTCCTGTGAGTGACTTTCTATCTCACACTTCCCCCTGTAATACATGTCTGGAACTATCTAAAATAAAGTTTTTGTGTGTATGTGAATTTCCCCAGGGTGTGTGTGTGTGTGCTCATTTCTGCGTGCACAAACATATGTGTTTGCAGTTATTTTTGTTGAAAAGTAAGACAGCTGAATTCTCTCACTAAAGGTATCTGGCATGGCTGGGTTTAGTGGAACCAAAAAAGAAGAAGAAGAAGAAAGAAAGCGAGAGACGGTAAAGAAAGAAAATTCAGACGATGGCTTGTAATTCCCTGTGGGCTGTGTAGCAGCTACTACTGCTCTGAGGCTGAGAGGATGTTAAGGCCACTCAGCTTGGAGAGGGAGGAGAGGAACCCAGTCAGTAGCTCTTATGATGTCATAATGGTGTTATGACTGGTTTCATAATGGTTTTATGAATGCCTTATGTATACCCCCTTCAAGTAAAGTGTTATCTAATTTGTACAGGAGGCTATATTTACTTAGTGTCTCTCTCAGTATAGCAGTTCCTTTCAGATTGGTGTTTTGAGCTATACTATACTAATTGGCCTGTCAATATGAAAATCTTAACTCTCCCTCCCTGTTTCACCTCCATAGAGAAGCGTCGGTGTGGTGCTTTGCTGCGGTACTGGAGCTGGGAGGGGGACTGTGCTCCGGGCGTGGCTGGCTCAGGGCTCACTGGACTGGGACTGGCCTCAGGGTGTAGCGACGGCAGGGTCAGGCTGTCTGGAGTCAGTGCTGCAGGTTAGACAGAGAGATAGACAACATACACTTTAGTGTTATAGAAAACGTAACACAGATACTGATAAATACTTATTGTAGCCTCACACACACACACACACACACACACACACACACACACACAGGCTTGCTTTAACAATCTATCCTCTTCAGTGTTGTACACAGCAGATTGAGTGGACAATTACTCTTTACGAATCAACAATACAGCACTCTTTCAGTCTGGACACTACACAAGGCTGCATCAGCTATACAGTGTGGAAGTGTGTGCATGTGTAACTGTGTCAGATCTTTGAACAGCTCATGGTGGAGTGTTTCAGCCCTGGTTTGATCCTGTGTGTGAATGGATTGTTGGTCTCGCTGCTGTTGGGTGTGTTTGGAGTGGATATGTGTCTCTTCCACCACACACCGACTGACACCTATGTGTATATGTGTGAATGTGGATACGTGTGTGCGCCTATGTGTGTATAGTGATTTGATGTGTGTGTGTGTGTAGCAACGCGCATGCCCCGCCCACTTGAGGATCTGTCTTTTTCAGCCATTTATTTCCTGTGTTTGAGGGGTGCAAAATCCACTTGTCACTTAAATCTCGCTGGATTGATTGCTTTCATTTTACTCCTGCGACTCTGTATTTTTTCCCCGTTAACGTTACGACCGCAGAAATGTTTGTAATGACCTGTCAAACACAGCCCCCGGTAATGGCTGAAATGGGCTCAATGGAATACATTGGCTTTCCATTGAATCTATAAGAATGCTCATGCTTTGTATGGGATTTAACGCACCGTCTCGACACTTACATCACAAGAAAGAGAAGATAGATACCTTTGTTTTGATGGGTGTTCATTTTTTGTGGAATTGAAAAAAGTAATGATTTAATACAGTTGAAATGTTTACAAATTAGATGCGCTGAAATGAAAGCAAGTTCCGAAAATCAACACTCGGATTATAGTGATATTATGTCTGATCTCGCAAACAATGTAAAGTTTGTATAGATAGGTGTAATCTAGAGCCAAGCGTATTGATGTTTAATCCGAGGGTATCCTGCTATTGACACACTTGTTGAATTATGCAAGAGAACATGACAACAACAGTAATTAATGAGGCAACCTAGATAGAGCAAGTGTTTGGTGGTTGTAGCTCTGTTCCTCCCCTTTATGTTAATGTTTTCATATATGCCAATACAAATGAGGCACATATAATTTTCCTTATTTTAACACAAAACATCAAAAAATACCTCGTACAAAAAAAAAACATCAAATATATAAGTGCAAAACTTTTTTATTGTGCAATTTGACAATAAATTGAATACCTGAATTCTCACTAAAATCCCTGAACTCCATTCATTATTTGTCTGTGCCAGTAAAATGTCTTATGTGCTATATTTCAGTCAATAGCTGATGGATTATAAACATAAACAAATGTAGTCCCATGTGGCTCAGTCGGTAGAGCATGGCGTTTGCAATGCCAGGGTTGTGGGTTCAATTCCCATGGGGGACCAGTACGAAAACGGTATGAAAATGTATGCATTCACTACTGTAAGTCGCCTGGAAAAGAGTGTCTGCTAAATGACAAAAAATAAAAATGTACAAATGAGTATCATTGTCCAACTGTTGCATTTATTAGGATTGTTTTAAAAATCTTTTAACAATTTCGATGACCGTTGCTAGTGTGTGTGTGTGTGCCTCTGCACGTTCGTGTGTATGTGTTCAGCCGTTTGCCTCCTGGCCTGTTTGATGTAGTCTGCAGTGAGCTCTTTAACTCTTTGTTTCCATGGGGACACTGATTGCTAACAAAAGCATGTGAGGATAGGGCTAAACAGAGAGAAATATCCTCTCTCTCCGCCCCCCTCTCCTCTCTCTCTGTCTCCTTCTCTCTCTCCCCCCCCTCTCTTTCTCTGTTTCCTTCTCTTGTCTCCTTCTCGCTCTGACAGATAGCTCAGCCATTAATATTTATTCCTGCACCCACAGCCTTCCTTTTATTAGTAGATATTCAACAGTCCTGGCTACTCCTACACACAGACACACACACACACACTTGTGTCTGCAAACACAGATACCATTTCTGGTGTACATACACACAAATGATGATGATGGAGATTTAGATGGTAGATTTGAGTTTAACTAAAAGGTAATTATTCATAGGCAGGAGGCAAGTACCTAACCAGCTCACTTAACAGTGTTAGAAAAATAAGGTGACAAAAATAAATAGGGCAAAAGAGCGATAGAGAGATGGAATAGAGATAGAGAGATCAATGAAGGCGAGAGAGAGGGAATTGGATGGAATGAAGCAGTGATAGATGAATGGTGAGAATGATAGCTATCATGACATCTTAGTTTGATTAATATTCCTGCTATGAGTGGGCACAGAACGATAGAGAGAGAGAGGGGAAGAAAGAAAGGGAGCTGGCTCGTCATTTAAATATCACAGTTACAGCAACCCTTTGATCTGTCTGCTTGTAACTGGGGTCAGGGCATGCGAGACACGTGCACACACACACACACACACACACACACACACACACACACACACACACACACACACAACACAAACACACAAACAAACAAACAAACACAAAGATATAAGACAGCTTGTTTGGAAAAGGACAATCCAATAAGTGGACCACAAGATGTCAATACCTGTCTTTATGTAAGGCCATGTCCCCAAAGAAGGAGAGAGATTGAGTGTGAGCCAGTTTGTTTGTAGTTGTGTTTTTGTTTGTGTGCAGGTTCAGGGGGAGGAAAGCAGTGTTCACAATAAAATTGTTCTTTATGATGAGAGGGTACAGAGACATCAACCTATGTGTATCTTTAAAATAATGTGTGTTCTAGTCCTATCCTATCTAAAATGGGAGATTATATAGGACATATGATGAAGTGAATAATGTATTAAAGGGCAGACTGAAAGGCTCTTACATGGCCAGGTAGGAAACTCTAACTCAAGACAGGAGCTGTCTGCTGACTGTTGTCCTCTCAGAGTGGCATTTCTAATGAAGCTTATGGTTGTAGGCTACTACGATGTTTTCTACCGATGGGGCATGCATTCTTCTCTCACTGGCCCTGGTCAAATTTAGTATGACAGTGTTTGATGTGATGATCTAACTTATTTAATTACATTCATCTTTCCATCAGTACACTTGTTAGCGTATCAAAATGATGATTTCATATAGTGAAGCTGCGCTGGATATAAACTAGGTTGCTGTATTAGATTGACTTAAAGATTAGACTGGCAGGCGGACGGGTGGCCTCCCTGATACACACGTGTGAGTGTGTGTTAGCCTGTAAGGTATGATAATGAATTCATCAGCCTCACTCAAGCGTGACTTATTGACTTTTTCGTTTTTTAAAGTATGACACAGCTGCTTACCTACTGAGACAGGCGACTGAAGGGGATATTATGTTGATAAAGCTGCCTTAAGGATATACACCTTGTCACGTTGTATAATGAATAGAAGACAGGCGCAGGAATTCATATTAGGGATTTTATTTACTCCACCCAACACAAACACGTACAGTATATATATATCACACCGGGATGTAACCCAAACAAAGAGCGAGGTGTAACCTCTACACAATACACGGGACGAGACCCGTAAACAACAAGAGCACTATCACCGGTACTTACGAGACCAACGGACATGGGACAATAATCGACAAGAACAACGGGGAACAGAGGGCACATATATACACATACTAATCAGGGGGAATGGGAACCAAGTGTGCGTAATGAGACAACACAGTCCGGGGTTGGTGGTAATAATCCATGTCAGTGACGCCTAGAAAGCCGGTGACGTAGACCTCCGGAGCTGGTGAACGGAATGAGCAGCAGTACCGGGGGGATCCGTGACACACCTATATATAGTCATTCTGATCTGTGAGCTGATTGTGTTTCTCTTTTTGTTTGCAATAAATATCTATTAGAAACAATAAATACATGACCACTGTAAAGACAGCTGCTCTGATGCATGTGACAAGCTTGTTGTGTGTTCTGGTATTTCAGTGTCAGGGAATTTGATTGTTTTTTTCACATCAAGATACAATTCATTCTTTGAGAGTCTAGGAAAGGTTGTGTTGCTGATGTTGTATCCCAACCTCATTAGGAGTTGAAAGGAATGTTAGGTAATGTCCAGGGAATGTGGTTAATCCTGGGAAAAATGTCAGCCAAGTCCGTCACTCTCCAAACATGGACAGAAAGTTGGACAGCATCGCCCTGATTCACTGTGGCGGAAATCAATGATTATTTCATGAAATCTTTGTTCAGTTATTGTCTGAAAGAGGCCGTGGTGGAAGAAGGGGTTGTGAAGGGTAGAATGTCTGGATTGACAGAGAGCCTAAAGAACACCATGAACACCAGAACACAATGGTTAAAAGGTTTTCTTTCACCGTTGCAGGGCAGACTAGTGCCAGATGAAAGGATGGTTGTTACTCTGACACAGTGGCCCACAGCGAGGGAGATGGGCTTGTATAAATGTGTCTTGAACACTGCTAATCCCCATCAGCCTCAGCTCCCAGCACCCCCTCTCACTATTCCGCCCCTCTCTCTCTTTGTCTCTCTCTCTCTCTCCCTCTCTTTCTCTCTCTCTCACTCTCCTGTCCTCTCTCACACACACCTCTCTTTCTCCTCCTCCTCTCCTCTATCTCTCCACTCAGAGCTTGTGTAAATGTGTGTCATAACCTCATCAAACTGCAGCCTTCCCTTAGCTGGAAATTTGTGCTGTACAGGCTGTAGGGACAGAGTGGGGCTGGTACAGAGATGACTGGGCTGGTGGTTTGTTTGATTACAAACTGATTTAAGAATGGCCTGATCCATTAATAAAGGGATGAATAAATAAATGCAGGGAGGGATGGAGGAGGAAGTAGTATAATGTAATGTAAGATCTGGGATCAGGACTTTGAGCTTCCTGTTTCTAAATATAGTCCCAATATGCTGTCATTCATTAGCAACGCTCATAACAGCAAGACCCACTGGAGACAAGGAGGATAGAGGAGAGGATTTGCTGTGCATCATTGGACAGTGTTGGACAGGCAGTGTTGGGCAGTGCAAGGCAGTATTGGGCAGTGCAAGGCAGTGTTAGAGGTCTTACCCTGAGTGTGTTGGATGTTCAGCTGGTTGATTTGCTCAGTGAACTCGTTCTCCTCGATGGTCTCGGTGCGAGGGACGGACAGAGAGAAACGTCGCTTAAAGTTCTTCATCTTGTTCATGGCGCTGAGGACCAGTACCTGAGAGAGCAAGAGAGAGAAGAGAAGAAGAATAGAGAGAAGAGAGCAGACGAGAGAGAGACGAGATAGGATAGAGAGAGAGAGAGAGAATAGAGTATAGGTAGAGACGAGAGATCTCCTTCTCTCGTCTCTCGCTCGAGATGGCGATCATCTCTCGTCTCAGTCATCTCTCTCTATCTCATCTCCCTCTCGTCCTCTCTAGTCTGAGAGATCGCAGATAGTCCTCGAGAGAGGAGAGACGGTCCAGGCCTACATCCTATGTAAATGACTGGGTATCGAACCCTGTTTTTTGCTGTGTATCACTCCAGACCATGCAAGCCCACTGAGGTAAAAGTCAAAGCCCTGGGAGCTAACACAAGTTTTCAGATCCAAGGCAAAGTTACTCAAACAACACCATGTCCCACTCTACAGGCTACAACCACATTATACAATTTGAACCACTAACCATAACACCTGGGGTGAAAGAGCATAACGATCAGACTGTCTGAACAGAGGAAAGTGAATATGTAACTACCCTCTGCTGAACCAATGTTCTCTAACCTAACGGCATGCCCTCCCATGGCACACCAAACAGAACAGCTCCAGTTAGTGATTGGGTTGTGGTCTTTGGTTGAGGTCAGGAACAGAGAGACAGAGAGGCAGTCTCTGTGTGTGGTGCTCCCTGGCTGTTAATGATGCTAACCTCGGATCACTGATGGATGGAATAATGAAGCAGAGAAACAGCAGGAGAGCATTTAATCAATACAGTCACCTCTCTGGCACGGCCCAGACACTGCAGTGTCAATACATCACATAACCATATAACCCTCTCCCCCCACTCATTACATCGTTCTCTCTCTCTCACTCTCTCTCACCGAGCAGCAGTGCAGGTTGGTTGCTATGGTCTCCTACTCTCTAATTAGTCTCCTGTCAGACTGTGTGTGTGATGTAATTATTGTAAGACCTGAGAGTAGGCAGAACTATGTTCCGCAGTCGTACACATGTCCATGCATGCTTGTGTGTGCCTGTGTGTGTGTAACGGACATCACGCTGCTTGCTTAGGGTGTACCGTGTCCTCCTAATTTGGCTCACACTGAGGCTTGAACACAGGACCTCTGCATCTTACCAGTTGGCGCCACTGAAAAATGTACAATTCGTCTGAGTCATTGCTTATTCAATATTTCTGTTATTGGAACCTGAAGACGCACACTTCCCTTTAAAGTGACAATCAGCAGTAGAAACAATATAGTATTCTCCCTGCCCCTGTTTTGGTAAAAAGCTGAGGGATGGGCCTGGAGAAATGTAACCACTCTCATACAGAGCAATGGATGCAAGGACTGACCATCCATGATATCAACATTATAGTTTTGACCATGTTTTGAGGCTATATAGTATTTGTTTACATTTACTTTGTTTACAAACATTGGATTAAAACAAGCTTATATTTTGGGTTCTGATGGGGTACAACAGTTTAACTAAGCTCATGAGGCATTTATAAGTTATATTCTTTAAGAATCAATGGGTACATGCCATTAATTTATAAAAATTGATGTAGCAACTGGTGATTTCCCCTTTAAAAGCAACATCTGTTAGGCAGATGACCAGTGTTATGATGAGTTTCTGGTACTGAGAAGTTCAGGATGCAAGAGAGCAGTCGACACTCAGCTGGAGATTTGATTCATATTTATTTCAGTACTGGATTCAATGACAGGTGGTACGGATGTAGCCTCTTGTCATATGAATGACTTCCATACAAAATCTCTCAATTTATATAATGCCCTTCCGATCTACTTCTGTCCCACACAGTTGCCAACCATTATTGAGTGTCACTCATCCACTACAATAGCATCCACATACTTGGTATCATGTGTCACCCTATCCAGGACAGTCCCTCACGTACCCCTCCTAAGATTAGCAACAGTGGCCCCCAATCTATCTTGGCACACCGACTCTCTGACACTAACCCGCAACATCAATAACACATGGCGTGTCCTTGTCCTCTGTCCCACCTGCAGCTTATGCGTTTTACATACATTAATTAATCTTGTATCACAAGTCGTTATATCAATTCCTCATTTTCTTTCTATTTGTTGTTGCAAGGAGAATTCCATTAATATAACATTAATTGAACCAAACAAACAAAACATACAAATTAATTCCTAACCTCTTGACATCATTCCAGAAAATACCTTGATTCATGACAATTTGTAAGTTACAATAGAATGGAATGGAAATGGAAATTATAATATATTCAAATGAATATATCCCAATAAAAATAACTTCAGTCTTGCCATCCATGTTCCTATTGAAATATCACTAAAAACCTTGAAAAGACTTCAACCAGCCAGGGTGTGTAGATCTATGTATTCCATTTCTATGTTGGCCATTGTGGTTCCAGTGTGGTTCTCAATCAGAGGCAACGAGTGTCAGCTGTGGCTGGTTGTCTCTGATTGGGAACCACATTTAAACAGGCTGTTTGCCCACAGTGGTTGTGGGATCTTGTTTCTAGTTGGTTTGTGTTAGACCGTGAACTGTCACGTTATCGTTTTGTTTAGTTTGTCGTTTTATCGCTAATAAAGAGTATGTTCGTCTGCAACGCTGCGCCTTGGTCCTCATCTCTTACCGACGATCGTGACAGAAGATCCCACCAAGACTGGACCAAGCAGCGTGTCCAGGAGCCATCGCCAGGGAGATCTCTAGCAGATCTCCTTCGCCTCCTCGACTGGGTCAAGCCGGGTGAGGAAGAGAAGGGCCGGACTTGGAAGCAGAAGGGCGAAAGTCTGGCGAAGGACATGGAGACCTGGTCCACGGGTAGGAGAGACGCCCAGAAAATTTTTAGGGGGGGGCTAACGCCGTGGACGACGGGCCAGCAGGAGACCGCGACAGAGCGGCCCAGCGGGTTGGCAGAGGAGGCCGCCAGGTTACGGGGGCCACTGGTCGAAGAGGGGATGGAAGGTGTAGAGGCACGGCGAGAGGTACTGGGGTGTGTTACCAGTCCGGTCCGGCCCATTCCAGATCCCTGCGTAGGGCCAGTGGTGTGTGTCCCCAGTACGGTCCGGCCTGTTCCTGCTCCCCGCACCAGGCCAATGGTGCGAGTCTCCAGCCCGGTCCGGCCCGCTCCTGCTCCCCGCACCAAGCCTATGGTGCGCGTCGCCAGCCCGGTCCGGCCTGTTCCTGCCACTCGCACCAAGCCAGGGGTGCGAGTCGTCAGCCCGGTCCAGCCCGTTCCTGCTCCACGCACCAAGCCAGGGGTGCGTATCGTTAGCCCGGTCCGGCCCGTTGCTGCTCCACGCACTAAGCCAGGGGTGCGCATCGTCAGCCCGGTCCGGTCCGTTCCTGCTCCACGCACCAAGCCAGGGGTGCGCATCGTCAGCCCGGTCCGGCCCGCTCCTGCTTCCCGCACCAAGCCAATGGTGCGCGTCGCCAGCCCGGTTCGGCCCGCTCCTGTTCCTCACACCAAGCCAGTGGTGTGCGTCATCAGTCCAGCACGGCTCGTGCCTGTTCTCCAAACCAAGCCAGTGGTGGGTGTCGTCAGTCCGGCACGGCCCGTGCCTGTTCCACTGGTGCCTGGTCCGGCACCGGTCAGATGCGTTACGCCGGAGCTAGAGCAATCCGCTCCATCAGTGTGCAGTCCAGCTCCGGCCAGCGGGGCCAGACCGGACCAGGGGTACTTTGGGGGGTTGGAGAGGGAGTGGGGATCAGGCCCGGAGCCGGATCCGCCGCCAAGGCGGAGTGCCCACCCGGTCCCTCCCCTGTGGTATTTAGTTGGCGCGGTCGGAGCCCGCGCCTTTAGGGGGGGGTACTGTCACGCCCTGGCTCTGGGGACACTGTTATGTTGAGCCAGGGTGTGTAGATCTATGTATTCCATTTCTATGTTGGCCAGTGTGGTTCTCAATCAGAGGCAACGAGTGTCAGCTGTGGCTGGTTGTCTCTGATTGGGAACCACATTTAAACAGGCTGTTTGCCCACAGTGGTTGTGGGATCTTGTTTCTAGTTGGTTTGTGTTAGACCGTGAACTGTCACGTTATCGTTTTGTTTAGTTTGTCGTTTTATCGCTAATAAAGAGTATGTTCGTCTGCAACGCTGCGCCTTGGTCCTCATCTCTTATCGACGATCGTGACAGACCTTCCTCATTCTGATGGCAATTATGTACAACATGCATCTCCCCCTATAATCGCATACATTCCACCTTTATCTACTATAATAGCATCCAATGCTATGCAATTCTCAATTGCATATTGTCCAATGAGTGACATCTCAGACCCAATTGCTTGAAAATCCAAGACTGTTAATAGGTACCATCTTCAACTCTGTTCAACCCTGACTCTGTTCTGATAATATGTCTGAGGAGAGATACCCAGGATAACACTCTGGTTTCAGTCCCTGTTAAATCAGTACAGTCTTGGACTAGTTAAGATTGAGGAATTCAACCAAAGGTCAGATCAGATGAAAATAGCATAAACATTCCTATGTCACAAATACCAAACCCCATGATAGGAACCAATTGAGTTCTTTCCTAGCATCAGAGATATGTACCACTCTAAACATCCCTATCACTACCACTCAATACTTCAAATGTATATAGTGACTAATATGTGAATACGGTAACTTAATAATCAACATACAGTGGGGAAAAAAAGTATTTAGTCAGCCACCAATTGTGCAAGTTCTCCCACTTAAAAAGATGAGAGAGGCCTGTTATTTTCATCATAGGTACACGTCAACTATGACAGACAAATTGAGAAAAAAAAATCCAGAAAATCCCATTGTAGGATTTTTAATGAATTTATTTGCAAATTATGGTGGAAAATAAGTATTTGGTCACCTACAAACAAGCAAGATTTCTGGCTCTCACAGACCTGTAACTTCTTCTTTAAGAGGCTCCTCTGTCCTCCACTCGTTACCTGTATTAATGGCACCTGTTTGAACTTGTTATCAGTATAAAAGACACCTGTCCACAACCTCAAACAGTCACACTCCAAACTCCACAATGGCCAAGACCAAAGAGCTGTCAAAGGACACCAGAAACAAAATTGTAGACCTGCACCAGG